CTAGCGTGCACTGTCCGCACGGCGGCTACCGCGAATACAGCCTCACCGTGATCAACTACAATGTCCGAGATGAGAACGATGGCATCGCGCTGACGAGGTGCTGCCACGTAGGTCAACAAGGAGCTCGAGATTGCCGTGTACAAGACTGGTGGCGAGAGCTGCACGATCGCCTCCGACGACGCTGGACCTTCTGTGCACTTTGACACGTCCCGCCTCCTCGTGCGACCGCTACGTTTGTGCTCGTATCTCACGCAACTAGGTGGACCACGACGCCGCCAAGGCCATTGAAGCGCTCTTTCCGAGCATCGCGACCGCCGCGTCATCGCCCGAGGTAGCTACACCATGCCGTAGGTGGCGCCTGCGACCGACTGTAGGAGCTCTCAGCTTGCGTTGTCTGCTATGGCCCCATGCGACTGCCGCCCGTGGATCTGGAGACGATGGAACGGCAGCCATGATGAGTAACTATATACAGGTGTCTCTATGTCGAGTTGTTGGTCGGCGTGTGGTCGGTGGGGGAGCCGTCGATGACCACGTCGCCCTGGCAGAGGTCGCACTCGACATTCCGCGGCAGCTAATCGCGTAGAAGGATGATGATGAGCCTGGGCCATCGATAGACTACGTACCACAAAGTCCTCTTCGTACGAGGTCGACGACATGAGCGTGTACTTGACCGAAATCACCAAATGCAGCGACCCGCTGGCCACATCCTGGAGCGGCGCCCAGACGTCCAGCGGGTGGTCTTCGGCCAGATCCAGCAAGCTCACCTGCGCATCCCATACATGGCACTCGTTCCATCGTCCATCAAAGTACCTTGGTCTGGCCCATGAACGGGTGGCTGCGGACCTTGCACTTGTTGTACACCGAGCAGTAGAGATCCGTGGGCGGCCCCGAGTACGCCTGCTGCTGCAACGCTTCGAGCGACGAGGACGCGAGCGGCATGTCTGGTGCGTGGGCTTCGTGCACGGGCAGCGCAAAGCGGTACACAAACACGTCGTCCGGCGAGTTCCACGTCGGCTCGAGCGTCGAGACCGCGTGTCGGCTGCGGTACGTGCTGATGGCCCACCCGTTGGGCGTCGGGCGCGGCGACTCGTGGCGGGGGTACGACAGCTGGAAGAAGACGTACGGGTCCGCCTAGTACAGAGATGACAATGTGTCCATAATTCCGTGCTGTGTACCGAGTAGCCCAAGAGGTCGCTAGGAATGAGATGCGAGCCCGCGACGAGCTTGACCTACGCCACCGAATCAGCATTGTTGGCGCCAAAACATGAGAGACCGTGAGGACGGCCACGAGGCGGTGGGGGAGCCCCAGATGCCGGAAGAGCTTGTTGCGCTGCACTTGCTTGAAGACGTCCGTGAGCCAGCGCGCGTGCGTCACCGTCTCCTTCCAGCGACTGCTCGTCTTGATGTAGCCGCCGTCCGCATCAAAGTGCTGGACGGCCGTGACAAACCAGCCCTCGCCGCAGAGCGCCTTCCACACCTCGCGCATGTGGCTGTCGGGGAACATGAGCCCCGCGGCTTCTTCGCAGATCTGGTCCGACATGGGTAGGAACGTGTCCCAGCCCAGATCCACGCGCGACGGCTGCGCTTGCGGCGTCTTCTTGGGCGGCGACGCAGGGTCCATCCCGAGCATGTAGCGCGCGAGGTTGGCCGGCGCATCGACCTCCCATGGGTTGACAAAGAAGAAGGCTTCGTCCGGAATCGCTTCCGGCGAAATGCTCGTCTTCTCGACGACCGGCGGCGGCACGTTGAGCGACATGGTGTGGTGGACGTTGGGCGCGACGTGCACCTCGAGGGACGGCGCAGCGAGGCGCGACCGCCGCCGCACGAGCCAGCGCAGCTTGTGGTTGAGGCACCAGCGCCCGAGAAGCGCCTGCGCCTCCTCGACGGTCGCGCAGAGGTGGTGCGCCGACAGCCACGCAAACGCGTCCTTGAGCGTAAAGCACGGCACGTACACGCGCGGCTCGAGCCGGAAGCGGCGCATGGTCATCGTGACCCCGAGCTTTGGGTGGTTCATGTACAGCATGATCATTTCGTCGCTCATATGTGCGAGATCGAGCGTCGGGAGCTCGGGCGCCGGCACGTCCACGGGGCGCACGAGCTGGTCCAAGCCGAAATGACCGCAAAAGCAGCTCGTGTCTTTGACAATGTCGTGAAACTCGGTCAAGACGTGCGCCTCCATCGAGAGGTACCAGCGCTTGAGCCCCGTGAGCGGCGCGTCGACCCAGTGCTTCCAGAGCTTCTTGGGCGCGTACAGCGCATTGTACATCATGACATGCTGCGTCGTCTCGTCGAGCGGGTACTCGACTTCGAACGCGTCGGCGAGCACCTTCTTCCCGTTGCAAAAGAGCGTTCGAATGAGCTGCACCATGAGGATCGTCGTGTACAGCCGGCGCACTTGGAGGAGGTGCGATCCGGGCTGGACGGCCGCAAATTGCTCCAGGAACGAGTAGCCAAAGTTGGAGATGTTGCACGCGCCCGACCGATCGAGGAACGTCACCGCGCTCATGTTGACCTGCTTGAGGATCGCGAGGTTGGCGGCAAACGTCTGTTCGTCTAACACACAACCACAATAGTGTCACTCGTCACAGCACAAGTCACGATATGACGTACACTGGGACGTGACGTCGAGGAGCAGCTGCGGCTGGTTCGTACACCACACGAGGAGCAAGCTGCCGAGGCGGATCGCGAGTCCGAGCACCGCACGCAGCGGTCGCGGGAGCGCAAGCGTGCCTTCTTCAAAGAGGTGCTGGAGGTAGCACAGCTGGATCGTGAGGTGCTCCCAGTCGCGAAACACCTCGGCCGTGATCTGGCACGTTGTAAAGCTCGCAGACGAGTGCAGCATGTTGAGGCTCACAAAGTTGACCCACTCGTGCATGACGGCGTCGCGCGAGAGCTCGGACAAGAGGAAGCAGCACTCGACCATGTGCATCTGCGCATGCGGCTGGAGCACGCCGAGCGTCGCCTCGAGAATGTACTGGCGGTCGACGCGGAACTGGGCGCAGAGCGGCGCGCAGAGGTCGTTGAGGTAGCTCACGTGGTCGATGCGGACGCGCGTCGAGAGCGGGTGGATGTGCCGCTTGACTGAGAGCCGAAAGTGCGAAATCATCTCGCGCGCGACGCGGAGGCCGATCATTTTGCCCACAAACGCCGACGACGACCAGCGCCGGCACTCAATGTCGGCGATCTCGTGCTTGGGCCAGAGACTCGGCACATCGTCCGTCGACGACGGTGACGTGGCCGCGCCGTGCAGCAAATCCTGCCAGTCTTCTTCCGTCAAGCTCGTGCGGTCCGTCTCGAGCGTCAGATGCTGGGCGAGGGAAAAGCTGCTACGGCGGCGCGTCACGTTTGCACTCCGGGGTGACCCAAAGAGCGCGTTCGATGACGACGACGACGACGACGTCTTGGGCTCGAGATACCAGTGGTGCTGGCGCTGGTACACGTCCATCTCGCTCCGCGGCGACGAGAGGTGCGTTGGCGCTTGGTGCTGCGCGTCAATGATGTGCATAAAGTTCTTCTTGACGTGGATGTTGAGCAGATGCCGCGCCTGGAGCATCTGCAGCAGCGCCGTGTCGTTGAGACCCACGTGCTTGCACACGTAGGCGCCAAACGAGTACGCGTGGTCGACGTCAGTCGACGTCGTGAGCACGTCTTCCTCCTTCTTGGTTGGCGCCATCTCAAGGAGCGACGTGTACGCAAAGTGCACGAGCGGCCGCTTCACTTCGCAGTAGAGGTACTGGTAGTGCAGCGAGAGCGACGTCAAGTTGATGAAAAAGTCGAGGCTCATCTTGGTGCGAAGCGCGATACTCATGTGCGGCGCCTGCGCCTCGTTGGGCTTGGCGTCCGAGAGCATGCGCTGGAGCGCGTCCATGTTGACGACGTCGATGGGCTGGCCGCTCGGCGTCAGCACGGCCGACGCTTGTTCGTACTCGCCAAGCCACCAGAGCGCGGTACTCTCGAGCCATCGGTTCTCTTGCTCGCGGAACAGCGGCACCAGACTCGTCTTGAGCACCTCAGCTGTCAGCGGCCCGACGTTGTAAATGTCGGATGCCTCAAACGTCGACGAGACGCTCGCGGTTTCGACGAGACGCGCGATGATCATGGCGAGGCTCGGGTCGTTGAGCCGGCCAATGCAGATGCGCAGGGCCTCCTGGAGCCGCGGCGGCTGCGGCAAGAGGAAGAAGGCGGCCGCGAGGTCGTACTGCTTCTTCCGAAGCAGCGAGTAGGCGTTGCGCACCGCGGCCGTGCTCCAGCGCTCCTCCGAGAAATCGTGCACGAGAAAATCGGCCAGCGTCTAATTGTATCAATGTATCAGTCCGACATATTGCTAGGCAGTACCTTGTTGGACTCGACGCGCGAGACCTTGGCGAGCGCACCCAGCACGTTCTTCTTGCCGAGCGCAAGGTACAAAAGACTGACGCTCATCGCGTCACGCGTGCGCATAAACGTGCACTTGGCCATCCTACGCCGAACTGAAACATTGAAACCTTGAAACAAAGGCGCACCGCTCGACAATCTCGCGCAGCTTGGCCGGGTCGCGCACCCAGAGGCCGAGCCACATGGGCTTGAGGTCGTCCCAGAGCGCTTGCGGGTGCAGACACTGCTCAAGGAGCACGTTCTGCGACTCGGACTGGAGCGCCCACGACACACTCGACGCCGGCACGTCGTGCAAGAAGCCTTCGACGGTCGGCGGCGGGCCGCCGGCGACCGCGACGCCCGCCTCGTCGATCGGGACGACCGGCATGGCAAAGACGCCGGCGAGGTCGTCGGCGTCATGCAGTACGTCCTGGAGGCACGTCGAGAGGACGTGGCCGAGCACGTAGCGCTGCGCGGGCACATCGTAGCCGTTGAGCGAGAGGTGCTGCATCTTTTGCAGAAACGAGAGCACGGCCTTGAACTGGAGACCATGCTCAACCTCAAACGACTCGAAGAGCACGTACGCGTTCCGGTGCTCCTGCTCCTCGTAGCGCACTTGGACCTTTTGCGTCAAGCGTCGCAGCACAGCATCGATCGCCGTCGTGAGCGTGCCAATGTCGCGGTTGTTGAGGACGCCTTCGTCCATCGGAGTCGGGGGCGCCGTCCGCGTCGGTGGCGACGGCGCAAAGAGATCCATCGCGCGGTTGCTACGCGGCTGGTTGCCTTTGGCGTTGGCGTAGCGCCCGAGGAGCGACGCAGGCGCCGTCGGCGTCTCTTGCAGCACGATGAGCACGCCGGTTTGCGCGCTCATGTCGGTCGACATGTCGTCTTCGAGCACCCGCGCGAGCAGTTTGAGCAGCTGCACCGTCTCGCCAAACGCTTGGTGAAAGTCAAACGCCGGGCGGTAGTCGGCGAGCGCCGTGTGGACGAGGCCGACGCGCGCCGGGAGGCCGCAGAGCGTCGTGAGCAGCACGTACGGGTGCCACACCGGGCAGTGCTTTGGCTTTGTCGTACGATTCCAGTACTGGACCCAGTCGCGCTTCCGGAGCCGACCGGGCTCGTCCCACTTGCCGACGATCGTCGGCGTGTCGTTGAGCGCTGCGCACTGGTACAGTGGTCCGTCCGAGACGCCGCAGGCCAAGATGAGCGCAGAGGCGTCGCGCGTGCAGTCAAACATGGTCAGGCCCGTCACGATGGGCTTGGAGAGCGGCAGCCACGTCTGGTGCTGCGCGTCGTACGTGTAGATGACGACGCCACCGACATACTGGATCGCGAGCGGGTCGATGTGGAACTCGACGTGGCCAGAGCACCAGCTGAACGACGTCACGGGCCCCCAGTTGCTTTGCGACGAAATGCACGCTTCGAGGCGCAGAATGCCAAGTCCAGACTCGCCTTCCCAGACGTACACGTCGTTCGGGCGGTCGGCGTACAGCACCGCGAGACGGTTCGGGTCGTCCATCTCAATGTGGTACACGCCGGCCGTCACGGCTTCCGACGGCATGGCGTGGCCGCGCCGAAAAAACTGGTGCGGCGCCACGGACGACGACGGTGACGGTGACGGCGTCACCAGCGGCTCGCACGCGTGGATGAGCGAAAAGTCGATGGTTTGGTGCGTGACGCGGCAGCGCCAGTGCTGGATCGCGCCGGTGGCGTCGCCAACAAAGAGAAGCGCGTTCCACGTCACGTCGTTCGGCGCTGGCTTGACAATCGATGAGAACGCGCGCTGGCGGTAGTCGCGCTCGGTGCCCAGCACCGTGATGTGGCCCATCGTGCTCCGGACGTTCGAGACCATCTCGAGCTTGTGGAGGTAAAACGTTGCGTGCGTCGACGCCAGGTACGTGCCGAGGTACGCGTGGAGCTCCTGGGAGGCGGCTTCGATCGCAAAGATGAGCACCACGTCCGAGGTGTAAGCGCCAGCGTCCGAGTAGACGGGCGCCACCGACACGTGCTCGTAGACACAACCCGTCGACTCGGACCCGATGACGCGCCACCCGCCGTACAAGCTCACGGACCCGACGCTGTCGACACCGAGAAGCGTCTTGCTCTGGACGCGCGCGAGGAGCCGCCGGCCTTGCTGCGCGTGGTCTTCGTGCGACACGTCGTCGCCGTCATCGGCTTCGTCATCCTCCTCGTCCTCGTCATCATCATAACGAATCGCAGTTTCCTCGACTTGCGTCGCGTCGTCCAGCTCGAGCGCACGCCGCGCCACGTCATTAAAGTTGCCACCGCTCGAACGAAAGCGCAACGTGACCGGTCCGTCCGTCGACGCGATCGTGTCATACACGAGGTTGCGGAACCTCTCGAGTGAGAAGCCCTTGACGCTAACCCCGTTGACCGACACGCACTGGTCCAGCATATCGATCTGGCCGCTCGCTTGGCCGGGCAGCCGGTGGTTGTGGTCCTCGTCGCCATGCACGAACGCCGTCACAACGAGCTTCTCGCCGAGCGTGTCAAACGTCAGGCCCAGGCCAAAGTGCGGGTCCGGCTTCAGGCCGACCTCGTATTCAAAGCCGGATTCGCCCAGTTCGTGCGAGTAGTAGGTCCACGGGTAGTGCATGCTCGGGAGGCGAAGGCGGTTGCCGAGACCCGGCTTGGGCGACGAGAGCATCTTGCCTTGGTCCGCACCGGTCGTGCTGTAGATCTGGAAGACGCCGGACGCCATCGTCACGAGCAAGAGCGGCACCGCGTCAAAGTGCTTGGTCGGGATCCACTGGATGGACGCGATCTGCTCGTCGCACGTCATGATGCACGACGGCACGAGCTTCGAGACGTTGGTGAAGGTCGAGAGCGAGAGCCAAAACACCATGATCTCCCGCGCACTCGTGGTGGCGACCAAGGGCAGCGACGGGTGCGTGGCCAGCGCCGTGATGGGCTCCGTGTGGCCGCGGTGCCAGCTCTTGTCCTTGAGAATCGGGTACTTGAGCGAAGTGCAGTCGATGCGGTACGACAAGAGCACGTGGTCGGTCCGCTCGAGCAAGATCGAGAGCGCGGACGGATCGCCCGCGCCGGTTTGCGAAAAGTACCCAATCACCTGCACTTGCTTGATGACGGACCGCGCGTCATCGTCTTCGTTGCCGTCGACTTTGAACGTAAAGTCGGTCTTCTTGAGCCGCGGCTTGGCGTCGAGACCCGTGAGCTGCCACACGTGGAGGACGCCGCTTGTGTCGATGACGCTGAGCCACTCGCGCGTCTTCTTCTTCTTGCTGCCATCGTCCTTGCTCGAGGCAAAGAGCTCCTCGCTAATGTTGCGCGTGCGCGGCAGCACCCAGCGCGTCATCGCAATGTCCAGGTTCGCTTGCGGCTGGATGAAGACGACGCACTGCATGAGTGGCGTACCGCAGCCACTGGCCTTCTCGGTCCAGATGCGGATCGTCTTCTCGGCCGTCATGGTCAGCAGCATGCGCTCGGGCTGGAACCACTTGGAGGGCACTTGGCCGTTGCTGTCGTCGCTCGTTGTCGCGTCGTTGTGCGTCGCTGGCTTCCACGAGATGTACACGACGCCTTCGTCATGGCCGAGAATCTGCTTTTCTATGTTGGAGCCGTCGTCGTGCTGCTCTTGCCGCCACACGTACACCTCGGTCGCGCCGGTTTGCGCTGTGGCAAACACGCAGCGCGACGGCGAGAACGCGAGCTGGTCGCACGGCGTCTGCTTGCGCCACACGCACGAGTACTTGACCGACTCGTCGTTCGGCGAACATTCCCAGAGCGAAATGCCACGCGGACCGCCCATGAGCATCGAGTACGAGCAGCGGGAGAGCGCGAGGTGCGTGACCTCACCGGCCTCGAAGCGCATGCTCCACGCATGCGCGTAGCTGACGCGGTACTTGGCGTACTTGGCCACCGGGTCGGGGCAGTGGATCATGAGAACGGTTGACGAGAGCGAGACGAGCGACGCCCGGCGCGCGTTCCACTGCGTGAGTAAGATGGGCGTGTCATGGAAGGGCTGGTTGGCAGCATTGGGGCCTGGCACGATGCGCCCGAGGAGCGAGAAGTCCTGCGTGTCAAGGAGGTCGATGCGCGTGTGGCTCACGACCGCTGCCACGTTCTTCCCATCGAGGCCGACCCACGACCACGTCATGCTCGTCGGTCAAAGCGGAAACTTTCTTGTTGGGGCCGGCGCTGCAATTGCATCCTTTTTATTTTATTATCTTCGCCACCATATGGTCTCGGATTCTATTTCTTGGCCCAAGATGCTCCGCTAGGCAATGCCATTGGGTATAAATACGCTCATTTCTACCCAATCGTGGCGGTTGAACCCATATCCATATCTGAGCGTTTAAATGAACTTGGCAAATGTATGCAATATATTAAAATACCGAACTGGACCGTCTCCGAGGATTGGTGGAAAAGCGCACCAATCACAAATGAGCTCGAACGGAGGTGGAGTGCACGCCGGAGACAACACCATTCGACCGAGGTGGAAGACGCGCTGTCGTACTAGTACGACTACCCTCGCCGAGCAATCTAGTCAACTCAAGTATACGAGCCAGAACGAGCGTCGGCAGGCAAAAGGTGGCGTCTCCATCATCCGTGGCTTCGAGAACCATCCAGCGCCGGGGATAGAAATGGCGCCGCGGCAACTTCAACTAGGACGCTGACCACTATCATTGCGATTCAGCGCATACGTTATGAGCGATGGTAGATAGACAGTAATATATTAACGCGTACGACGACATTCACGACTAAAGCTACAACCAGATCTGAGCGGCCTGGTAGTGGGCCACGAGGCGCTTCATGCAAGCGTACGCCATGCACGCGAGCGTCGTCGAGGCGAGGAGCACGAGCACAAGGTCCGTCGGGCCCGGCGTCCGGTACCAGCGCACCGTGATGACGCCAATGCCAATGGCGGCCGCGATCCCGATACCATCGCACACGGCGAGGATGCTGGCCGCTAGCCCCATCTGGCGAGGTGGCAAGACAAACGCACCGATCTCACTGACGCACGTTCGAAAGAGCATCTCCGCCAGCCCCAGCGGCAAAACGTACGCGGTCGCGTACCCGGCGTCCATGCTCGTCGTCACCTTCTTGTGGCACGTGTTTGGAAAGAGGAGCGGGCCGGCCACGTGCGGGCTGCTGCGGCGGTAGAGCTCGACGATGCCCGCGAGGAAGGCGCTGAGCAGGTAAAACAAAAGGGCGTGGAGAAGCCGCGTGCTGCGTCCAAAGGCTTTGAGCTCCACGGTGAGAAGGCGGAGGAGGAGCGGACTCGACACAAGTGCCACGGTACCGACGCCGACGGCCACGTAATCGGGGCTCACTAGCACACTGCCAAACGCGATTTGGCTTGTCTGGCACTGCTGCAAGAGCAAGAGCGAGTAGAGCTGCCCGCGCAGCGCAGCCGCAAAGACGGCCATGCACCCGATCGGAAAGAGGCTCAAGCCGCGCAGAACGGGCATGTGCTCGGACGCAATTGGCCCGTCCGCATCTTCGTCTTCGTCTTCATCATCATTGTCCTCGGAATCCGGACGTCGCCGGTGGACATGGACCGAGTAGTTCAAGTTGAACGAGGCCACGCCCAGGATGAGCGTGCTGATCCACCCGAGAAAGATACTTCCGACGCCAGCTGCCGCGAGCAAAAAGCGCGTATCGAGCGCCGCGCCAGTGCTACTCGGCGGCACGGCGAGGCTAGCAACAACAGCAAGCGCGCCGAGAAGCATGAGGAGCGCGCCGCCGCTCGTGCCGAGGAGGAGCCAGTGCCCGCGCACGACGTGCCACCCGGTAGCAACGACCGACACGGATGTCACCTGGGGCGGCCAGCGGCGGCAGCGCATGTGCACGTGCAGCCACGCCAGCGTCAAGAGCAGAAGGAAGATGAGCGCAAAGAGCGCGAGTACTTGCGTCTCTGACAACGTCGCGAGGCAGAAGGCTTGGGTTGCAGCGAGGCTGCCGATCGTCGCTGCGGTGGTCCAGCCATAGAACGTCGTCTACGCACCGCAGAAAATCAGATCTCATCCGCGATTGCGAAGCACGTACGATCTGCAGTCGCTCGTGGTCGTCGCTGACGTCGTGAGTGTGCTCGAGCGCCGTTCCCGCCACGACGACATTGGGCACGACCGCGCCGGCCGCCACATAGGCGAGCGCAAGCCCCAAGCCGTACAATAATGCCGTGTCCAGCACGCAGCCAAAGAGTAGCAGTGACGACGCGAGTACCCAGAGGCATGACGCCCACCGAAGCACGAGCCCTCGGTGTCGCGCATAATCGCCTACAAGGCCGCCGCCACTGCATGCGACGCTCAGCAGCATCGAAATGACCAGCACCAAGCTGCAGCGCGGAAGGTCTTGGAGGCCGAGCGCGGTGCGGAGACGGTCGGTCCAGCCAAACGTCGCGACGGCCACGACGCTGATGTTGGTCACGACGATGCTCAGTACCGCGAAGGGCTCGATGAGGACCATGGGCCTGGAGCCACATTCGTCGTTGTTCGGTGACATGCAATCGATCCACGCGTCGTCCTTCTCGAGCTTGACGTCTTCGGTCCATGGCACAAGCGGTTTCCACAAGGGCTTGGCCTCGCGGAGGTGGCCTACGTTGCGCTTGGACGCGTCCATATAGTCCATGCGGTCGCTTGCGCCTCCCTTCGTCACAGGCAGCTTGAGCTTGGCGGCTTGGAAAGGCGCCGTGGGTGTGCCTAGCGGCGAGTCGGTCGCAGCATCGGCTCCGTCGTCGTCGAGGTCCTCGGCGCACAGGCGAGCAATGCTGTTGGCATCACACGTCGACCGATACAGCCAGCTCTCGCGGTCGCATTCGTCGTCGTCGTCGCAGTCGCTGGGCCGCGCCCAGTTCTCGGCGTCCATGACCAATCTGTGTATATGCGCTGGAGTCGTGGCCCAAGCCGACGAGATGTTACTTCCGCGTTCGAAAGCTCGGCAAGGAACGTTCTCGTCTCGGGCTCTGCGCCGGCGAGACGACGACGTCACCACGGTGCAGCCGAACGGAATTACGACCTATCACGGCTCTCGTCGCTGATTGGGCGCGTGGCGATCTTGAACGGCTGCACTACAAAGTGCAAAGTGTGCTCCGTCCTCTTGCCACACGTTTACACTTGTCGTATGGGCTGCGATTTCCTCTGAGGACGGCGTTGGATCACATCAACGGAAGTGCATCCTGGTTCTTCCTTGCATTCCATAGCCAAAGGTCGAGAAGAGATAGATAATGTTGAACATGCGAGCTGCGTCGACGTCGGCTTCGGCTCTGCTTGCAGCCAGGCGTCGGAGACGGTCTCGCAACTTGGCGCCGATGTCATGGGACCCACGTCATTTCGTTTCGCCTTTCTAGCTTGACGCCGCCAACTCGTCCGCGTTAACGAGCGCTGGATCTCTGGCTTGCATACGAGTGAGTCAGCTGATCGATCGAGGGTACAATGCGGCGCCGCCATCTTGGGTGCTGGCCCGCCATCGTGGCGCCGGATAACAGCGCACATAACCGTAGTTGCACTTTCGAAATGAACCGCCAACGCCGCCAGCGTCCGCCGCCCGACGCGGGCCACCGCCACGGGCACACGGTCAACGATAACATCCGCCCGGGCATGCGCGTCGCCGTCGTGCAGAAGCAAGATCAGCCGACGGGCAAGCTCACGTACGGTACCGTGGCGACGACCTTGACCAACTCGGCGCTGCACCCGCGGGGCATCAAGGTCCGCCTCACGGACGGCACCGTCGGGCGCGTGCAGACGATTGTCAACGGCGAGGCGCCCGAGCCTGCGCCCGAGCCTGAAGCTGCCCGTCCGTCCTCGCGGCTCCACCTACAAGACTTTATCCAGGCGCCGTCGCCCGCGAAACTGCAACTGCACGACTTCATCGAGTACCCGGCGACAACCTCGACGCCCGAGTGCGACGCGCGCCCGTGGGCCTGCACTGCGTGTACGTTTGCGAATTCCGGTTTCCTCGTCGTCTGCGAGGTGTGCGAGACGCCAAAGACGCTGTAAAAGAGCTGACTGTACTTTTGAGTGTTCTCGCGCCTTCTGCGGTGGAAAGGCGTGAATTACACGCAACGCCAACTTGAAGCAGGTCGCATTCGGCCATGCACCGCCTTGAGATCACGAGCCAGAGCCCCAACAAGAGCCGCGCGACCTGCCACACCTTCACGCAGTTCCACATCGACGTCGACGACGCGTGTGGCACACCCTATACGATCTGCAAGCGCTTCCGCGAATTCGTGACGCTGCACCGTCAGTTGCGGCTGGCGGGCTTTCACGTCCCGAGCCTCCCCGTGGCCGGACCGTTCATGAGTCTCTGGCTCCTCTGGGACTCTGCGCGTGCGCTTGCCTACCGCCAATTCTTTCTCCAAGTCTTCCTCCAAGTCCTCAACGACAGCGCCGAGATCCAAGCGCACCCCGCCTTCACAAGCTTCGTTGGTACCCGCCCCGAGACAAAGCCAGGGTACACATCGCTCGCCCTCTTCCGCCAGTCGTTTGAACGGAGCCCCGTGCGGCGTCCCACCCGCGGCGTCCCTGCGTGCAGCATCTAAGATCGCAATAAGCATCTGTCCACATTGCACTTTTTAGCTGGCAACGAGCGTCCATGGGGTCCACGGACGGTACAACGTCTCGGTTGCGTGGTCGATGAGCACGAGGTTGTCGACGGTGATGGCGCCAGCGTCGATAACCGTGACGTCCAGCGTCGCCTTGGTCGTGGCGCCTGGCGCAAGCATGCTAGCATATGCTGTGATACGTCTACTTCCAAAGACACGCTATACCCGATGCGTAGCGTAGCGTTCGGCGTTGTCCACGCGGGTGGCGCGCTGCATGCCTGCGACGCCAGCGCAAGGTACTTGACGTCGCCATGCAACGGCGCCACGTCGAGGGCTGCATACGCCGGCGAAAGAACGAGGAGACTCAGCGCCATCTCGGCGGCGGATTGATTGGTGACGCACAGGACGACCGGGGACACCTCCCCCGCGCGCAGTGGGGCCGCATCCAAACGCGCAGAAACCTCGACGCCAAGCCATTGCTGGCGCAATGCCAGCGATGGCGTCTCTGGCAGCGAGGGGAGTTCAATGTCCGCCGACTGCGTCAGAGGCGCCATCTCGGCAAAGGTCGACCACGTATACGTGACGCGTGCGCCCGTGGCAGAAGGCCGCGACCCACGACTGGTCTCGAGCTGGAAGCTAAGATACAGGACGACGTGCCAGTGCTCGCCCGGGCGCAGGACGACGGGAAACGCGTGCGCATCGCTCTCGTCCACAAGATATCCGCTCGGCTCCACGTGCAGGCACACGTCGTGCAGCACGAGGTCGCAAGGCGCATTTGGCGGATGCTCAAAGCGCAAGACGACGCAGTGCTTGGACCCGATTTGGTAGATCGAGTGCGAAAAACCGACGCTGCGTCCCAGGGCGATTTGCGCCGTCACCTGCCGCGACAAGTGCGACGACGGCAGCGTCTCGGGCCAAAACATGTACTGCGGCAGCGCGCCATGGAGGAGCGACTCGAGCTTCTTGACGCGCTGCGTCTCGATGCGGCGAAAGTGCCCGACGCTTTGCTGCAGCTGGACGCTCAGGCGCAGGCTCGCGCCCTCGGTCCAAGACGCGCGCAAGGCCACCGGCGCATGGAGCACGAGCGCCGCCGGGTCGGGCGAGGGCACAAAGTCGCACGATGTCTCAAAGAGCGTCGAAGCAGCGTCGACGATGCTCAAGGTCGACACGACGCTGGCCTTGTATGTGTGCCATTGGTCCAGCGACAGCAGCGGGCTATCGCTCGTCGGCGGCTCGACGCGCAGCACCAGCACGACGTGCTCGTCTAGGCAGGCGCGTGCGGTCATGCGCTCGCATACATGGGTATGTACCTGGGTAGACAAAGTCGGCGGGGCAAAGCGCATCGTCCGGCGATCGTCGCCGATGCAGCGCGATCGCGAGCGTGGCCGTCCCCCACTCTTCGATCCAGGGCATGGAGGTGTGTGTACAAGTATGGACGCTAAATACACCCAACCTTCAAGCATTACAATCGATCGCGTTGCATTGTTTGTGCAGTAAAGTTGAGTCTTTTTATAGCACTGCCGCCCAATCCACGAGACCGTGCCATGGCGGTGCGTCGAGCAGCCTCGTCCTGCGTCAATTACATCGAGGGGAAGGCGGAGGCTTGGGCTTGATCAGCGGCCGCGGCTTCTTGCACCAAGCTCTGCCGCTCGCGCTGGATGTAGTGCAGTAGCTCCATCTCTTCTTCGCGGTCGAGTTCGCTCGCCGTGAGCTCGTCGATGCTGCGCACGTGCTCGACGGGTACCTTGTACTTGATCTTGGGGAGGAGCCACAGCAGCGCTTTCGGGTCAGTGTAGGACGCGTATGTCTCGGAGCCCTCGGCCTGCAGCTTGGACTCGGGGTCGATCAAGAACGACGTGTTGAGTGGCACGCCCGCGTCCGTGTATGCGACCGTATCCGTCGGGCGGTTGCCAAACCCTGCGACAAAGACGGGGTGGTCACTACGGCGACCGGCGCGCACCATGGCGTCCTTGATGCCGAGGAGGATGCCGGCCTTGAACACGTGTGGGTTCTTGTGAACGACCTCGGTAAAGAGCGCGCCCGTGAGCCCCATTGAGTTGGTGATGACAGGTCCCGGCGGCAGCCCTATCTCGTCTTGCCGCGCTTCCTTGAGGTGGACGCGGGACCCGCCCGCCCAGTTGAGCGGTCGCGCCGTCAGGTACAGAATCCGCGCGCCAATGCTGTGCAGCTTGGTCAAGAACGCACACACGCCCGTGTGCATGTAGTCGTACTGGCCCAAGCGCAGCGTGCGGATGTGGCCCTCGACATCGCTGATCGTGATCGTGCCATCGAGGTCGGCGATGATCGCAAAGTCGTCGGGTTGCCAGACGTACCTACATCCATAGGATCATCCTCCTACCGGTCCAAGCTTTGACGCGACGTACAGGTCGCACTCGATGACGCGCGTGTACGTGCGGGAGGCGCGGACATGCTCGAAGCGGACGCGGTTGGGAGACCCGTCGCGCTTGAGCTTGCACGCGGCCCAGTCGACGCCGACGGGCGGGAGGTACTCGTTCTCAATGTTGTTGAAGGTGCACCGGCCGTACTCGAGCAACTTCATCGAGACGTTGAGCCGCGTCTCGTTGACATAGACGTCAATGGTATCGCCGACGCCGGCCCGGACGTTGGACTTCCACGTCGACCAGCCGAACATGACGTGCCATTCGGTCGAGATGAAGGCGTCGGCGTCGTCTAGCGTCTGGATGAGGATCACGTCGAGCGCGTTGCCCGTCGGACGCATCTCCTTGTCCTCGATCGACGACGCTCGGTCCTCCATGCTGCGCAAGATACAGCCCAAAACCTACTGACCAGTTGATTGCCGGCTTGCTCAATCCAACAAATTGGTTTTTGTATACGTCAATGACTGCTTGTCAGCAAAGATCCGACCACGGAACAGCCTCCGCCTCTACACTCGCCTGCAGCGTCGAGACAGCCTCGACCTTGGCCACCACGCAGTGCATGGCCATTGACGCTGCGCCAAGGTCGTGATGACAGTCAAGGTGGGGACGTCGGTGATAGGCGAACGAACGCTCGCCCTGACTCTGGAGCCCTTCCGCAGCCGGTGAATCGAGCTCGGCATTTGCATCAACACTGACGTCGCATCCGCGGCCTAGGCCTGGGCCTGGGTCTGGACCTGGATCAAGAGCTATGGCGCCTCGAGCCACATCGCGCGTGGCATCCCGATGCGCTCGCGCGACAGCGACGATGGCAGCAGCTACCAGTGGCTTAAAAAGCAATTTGTTAGATAACAGTGTTACATAACGGGACCGACTCCTCGGGAGTGTTCCACGTCCTTTCTCGGCAAATCGCATCGTCGCCATGGCAGAGCTTCTCGCGGGCTTGGAGTGGCAAGCGCTCTTCAAGGCCATGGCCAGGCACGTCTACGTCGAGCTCCGGAGCCAGCTGCGCACGAACGACGAGTGGGCCGGCCGGTGCGCCGCGTTCGTCGCCCTCGTGCTCGCCTACCGCTTCGTGCATAGCTTCCGCGCCGCCTTGCTGCTCGGTGGCGTCTCGGGCGTCGTTGCTGCCGGCTTGGTCTGCTATCGCCGTCGACGCAAGATGCTGCGCGCTCCGAGCCACTCTCGCTTGCACCCGGCCACCTCATAGAGCATCGTCTTCAACCTCGACGTATTGTAGTTTCGTATTATTCTGCGTTCCTAGTTGTAGCGAGCGCGCTTCACGGCCGCGTTCTCGCCGCTTTCGAGCGCACGCTTGCGCTTGGCGTCCAGCCAGGCAAGGACCTCGGCGCGCGGTAGCACTTGGCGCGACGCCGCCTCGGCCGGCGGGCCCGGCGGCAGACTCGACGTGGCCGCATGGTTGCCCATGGGGAGGAGGAAGAAAAAGTAGAAGGCGCCAATCTGGATCAGGTTGCGGCTCCGAAGGCCGAGCGGCGCCGAGGCCAGCGTCAGGTCGCGCCCGTTGACCGAGATGCTCGTGAGGAAGCTGAGGCACTGGATCGTAAACTGCTGGCGCTCGACATCCCACTTGATGCGCGCGTGCTTGGCCGAGATCATGAGGTCGTCGCCGAGGTGGCAGTCGATCGACCCGCCAGCGAGGCCGCGCGCAAAGTTGATGCCGAGAGACTCGTACCGGTCGCGCCACTTGGACGAGAGGCGGCCGAGCGTGATGTCGGTCTGCAGCATGTAGTAGCACAAGCCGGGACCCTAGGACGCGTTCAGTTGTTAACGCCATCGTATGGGCGAGCGTACCACGAGCTTGGCATAGCCCGCCGGTTCAAAGTCCAGAGGTTTTGTGCGCGTGGCTTCGCTCGCGACGAGCGAGTACTGGAGCGACGGCGCGACGGCAGCAACGGCGAGCTCGCGTTGCCAGCGCGGAACACTGGCCGTCTTCTTGGCGTGGACCACTTGGTGGTGCAGCTGCTTGAGCGCCGGCGTCGCAAACCGTGCTTCGCAATTCATGCACGGGACCTTGAGGAAGCGGTCGAGCTGACGCTGGAGAAGGTACGCGACGCCGAGGCCGCTGCCAAGGTCGAGGAGCGTCTCGCGCGCCCACATCGGCGTCACCGCGACCGACGACTTGACAGGCGGCCACGCGTCGTCGCCAAGGTACAACAGCTCGCCGTCTTCGTCCATGCCTTGGTTGAGCACGACGACTTTGGGTGTCACACACTTGCGGCTCTTGCACGACTGCTTGCGCAGGCCGGGGCCGCCATACTTTTTCATATCCTGGCAGTGCCGGCACTTCATGCAGTCGGGCGAGAGGCAGCCGACGCAGACGCCGCAGCGCATGACACGGCTGCGGTTGTTGAGGCTCGCGAGCTTGCTACGGCGCTTGGACTTGAGCGACTTCGCCGCCGTTTTGCTCAGCGGTGCATCGTCCAAGTCCCCTTCCTCCATCGAATCGTCCATCGAGTCGTCCATGTCGTCGTCCAGCTTGCTCTGGTCGCTCTCTGAAGATCCCTGCGACTCGGAAAAGTGTCCGTCGTCGTCGGCCTTGAGAGCGAGCGCCGCGCCGTCCTCGTCTTCGTCGTCCAAATTGGCGGTCGCGGCTGACGCCGCCGTCGACGACGACCCCGTCATCACTTGCGGGTTGGTGCACTTGCGGTTCTTGCACGACTGTTTCCGCAGGCCAGGACCGCCGTACTTTTTCATATCCTGGCAGTGGCCACACTCCATGCAGTCGCCCGCGAGGCAGCCCGGGCACTTGCCACAGCGCGTGACGCGCTTCTTGGCGCGGGATCCCGACGACCTGTTGCGCTTCTTTGGGCCCGTGCTCTACCAAATCCTTGATGAGGTATTCTTAGCGACGAGGAACGTACCGGTGCCGACGGAGGTGTGGCTGGTGCGGCGGGCGGAAGCGGCTGCGACGGCTTGTTGGACGGCCCAATCGTCTCGTCGTGCTCTTGCCGCTCGTGGGCGTTGCGCAGCGCCATGGTGCCGCAGTCGACGCCGCACTTGCGGCACGTCCATGTGCCTGGCGGCGCGTGGTCTGACTTTGTGTGCTTGAGGAGCCCGCTGCTCGTCATGAACGTCTTGGCACAGTGCTTGCAGGAAATCTACACACCAGTGTCACACATCTTCGTCGCCATGCACCACGGAAGCGTACGAGTTTGGCGTCCGACGGCGCCGACGACTTGGTCGACGGTGGCGGCGCAGGGGTCGTGACCGGCACCGGCATATCAAAGGCCGACGCCGACGCCGACGGCAAGTGAGATCGCTTCAAGAGCCGCTTTTTTGCTTCGATTGCGAACCGGTGCACCTTGCGCTGCTTCTTGAAACGAGCCAAGTGCCGGCGTTCCGTGCGAAGCAGCGGCGTCGAGAGCACGTACTCGGTTACTGGCGTCGCGTCCATCTTGATGAGCGCTGCTCGTTCAACGTCGCAGGCCGCAGTCGTGCAGCGCACCACGTTCGCCAGCGCTGGCGCGTCATCGCAGCCAACAGCAACAACGACCTGTTGGAGCACACGCAGGAGTTGGTCAATGGCGCTGGCATCGAACCCGCTCGTGCCCCACGCCTACACCGTGGCGTGAGCACCACTTGCATCGACGCAACTCCGTACCAGTGTCTTTTGCTTCGAGTCAAACAGCTCTGGGAGCACAAAGTGTAATAGCAGGCGCGCATCGACGCTGACGTCCGGCACGGCAAGGAGCCAGCGCTGGCGGCAGCGAACATGGAGTAGCTCTGGCAGCAGTGTTCGTGGCCGGTCGTACACGACGAGCTGCCACTGAAGCTCATGCCAGTGGGCCATGTCCGCGGCCAGAACCCGGTACGTTGTCAGCACGACGTGGAATGGACCGGTCTTGGCCCGTATCCGGTCGTCGGCCCAGAAACTCCGGAGCGTCGCGCGGTCGTCGTCGCTGCCCCAGTACGGGAGCAGTCGCAGGTCGGTACCCTCTTTGGCCTCGATCGTCGACTCCCACAGCGCCAAAGTCTCGCAGCTCGTCACAATCAAGTGCGGACCCCACTTGTTTTCGCGCTGGCCGAGCTGCGTCAGCAGTGCCAGAACCTACTGTCATATGAGCTCCGCAGCGTGCAGAGAAAAATGCTGTGCACCTCGTGCACCGGAGGCGACGCCGACACGACCATGCCGTTGACACCCTGTGCGTACAGCGTCTTCATGCGTTGCACGCTCTTGGACGCGTTGTCGTCGTCGCTGAGCACTGGTGACGAAGCGTCATCGTCGAGCCATGCCCACTTGGAGGCATCCTGAAACGGGTTGGGCACCGAGACGACGGTCGTCGGCGACGGCACGGTCGCGAGTTCGAAATGACGCGGCAGCATCGCCTGGATGCGGTCTTCGTCCGAGATGCGCTGGCGCCAGCGCTGCCACTCGGCGTCAAACTCGCCGACTTGGCAAGCATGTTCCTTGTAGAGAGTACTCGCCGTGATTTCGGCGACCCGAGCAATCTCCTCGAGCCCCAAGGCAGTCGATGAAAAGTGCTCGCTGGCCGTCTGCAGGCGAAGGTGACGACGACGCGTCACATATATATATAAGCCGTACCATGCCTTGTGGCGGACGCTGGCCAAGGAGCATTTGAGTGTAAAACGTGGCTTCGGCCAGGAGAAAATGCGTCATCTTGACGTTGTCCCCGAGGATATCTCGTTGTCGAGAGATCTAGGCAGCGTTACGATCGAAACAAAATGCCAAGGTACCATGACGGGCTTGTCTTTGGCCGCGCGCCGCTGGTCGGGCGAGCTCGAGAGAGCAGAGTCGTTGTCGTCGTGCGACGTCAGCGAGCCGTTCGCGCGCTTTGCACTGCGGCTTCGTAGCTTGCCTTGGGCTTCGAGGCATGATGCGGCAAGGTCTCGCAAGGTGCGTTGTCGGTGCAAACGCCGTTCGTGAAGCGCAGAGGCGGCAAGGCTGAGCGCTGAGGATTCGCCCACGACTGCAGAGGTCCAAAGGTCCTGTGCGGAGCCCTCCAACGTGCGTGTCTGCAGTTTCTGTAGTGTCCTAAGCAGTACGGATGAGCAAGACGGCTCGAGTGGAAGAGAATCGTGTACTCGTCGTGCTGCGCTTGGAGCACCGCCTGTACGTAGCGCATGATGAGAGACCCGCTGCAGGAGAAGCGACGCGCGCACCTTGTAGGCGTCAATGTCGCAAAGGGCCTGGCGCTTCGTGACGGCAAAGATCGCTCGCTTCCGCCCTTCCAAAAGCGCGTCGCGCCACGTATCGATCGTGTCAAAGGGCGACGTCACGTGGCTCGGCGCCGCCGGTTTCGCATGCACAAACGACGTATCGTTCATGCAGACATGGATCTTGCGTTCGCGCTCGAGCTTTTCTGTTGAGCTCATCGTAAAGGCTGCATTGTACGCCTTCTCGAGCGCATCGTACACGAGCTCGTCCGACTCGTCCGGGACCTCGTCGTACACGTTGCCGACAAGCGCGCCCTTGTTGGGCATCGTCGTGCGGAGCTCCGTGCCAACGTAGCATGCTTCCAGCTCGAGCTTGCCACGGCTTCGTTGGTCGAGCGTGTGCTTCCGGTACAGTCCATGCTGCAGTAGCCCGTTCGTTGGCAGCGTATTGTCGTCGCGCGTCGCCGCCGGAATCGCCACATGGGCTCGGCTGGATGGCGCCGCCAGCTGGTGCATGAGGAGCGGGAGGTGGTCCACGCATAGGAGCCTGCGCACGTCGTCCTTCATGCCACCGTCGGCCAGAGTCGTCCGGAAAATCCCAAGTGGCCAGCCGCGCCGCCACACAAACGGCCGAAGAATCTATCGCCGCCCGAGGATTGGTTGGCGCCTCCAATCGAATGTGAGAGGTCATGGTCCCTGAGGTATAATTTATTATCACAGGTTTTTGCAACCGTTGCCGTTTGGATCGGATAGACGCACGCAACTCTACACCCCAGCAGCGCGCAAGCTGCGCGCCGCCATGAGATTGGTATTGCACGCCCTCGGCTCAAGCTTGAACACTAGAGTTGTGTAGTATGGCGGTCCGGCGCGGCTCCAACCATTGGTGCATTTGCGACGTTATACTCCCGCTTTCACGTGGTAGTTGGGTGTCTTTATCCCACGTCGTCGAAGGACCATGGACCATGCGCTGGCCGCGTGGGCCGCAGGACTCGGCGACGTTCGCGACGTCGTCCGAGCTTCCACAGGTGCGTACTAACTTGACGCTGCGCCTGTTAATGGTGTGCTTCTAGTCTCGACGGTCTGGCACCGGTCGCTGACGGCCCAAGCGCCGTTCCAAGCGCGCTTTCGCCGTGAGTTTGGTCCCGAGTACGCGCTCCTCTGCGCCGAGCACGAGGCCATTGCGCTTGTTCAAGGTCGATCCGTTGATGACTGACCGTGATATCCTACATGGGATTAGACTGGCGAACTCTGTACATCCAGCGATCTCTGGGTTTTGCGACTGGGTTTCGCCTTGGCATGGACCTGCTGCCAGCGCCAACGGACCCGACGGACCTCGTACGTTCGCCAGGACGTGTCTGCATCTAATAACGACCTGCGTAGGCACGGCGCAAGGCCGAAGCAAGTTTGCTTCGCTGGATTTACGTGACAGAGCAGGCCGAAGTCCTTCTCTCCCGACCGATAGTCGGCGACGTCGTCGAGCGCCTCCCGCTGCAAGAAGCCTTGCATTGGCAGCACTGTCTCTCGCACGCCAAGCCGCTTTACGACCAAGTAGGCCACCCTTGCGTCTGCGTGAGCTGTATGCAAGTAGCTGTTGCACCCGGCGATTCCGGCGGCCTGTGACGTCCTCGGCGACGCCGACTACGCGTTCAAGATGGACGAGCAGGCGGCTTGCGTCAAGAAGCTGTACAACCAAGCCGTGTGGAATGCCAAGTACTTCAAGGTCCTTCCTTTGAGCATGCTTGCCTTCAACGCTCTTTATCCAGGTGCTCGAGAAGCCGTTCCGGGATCTCCTGACGAGCGACGTCAAGCAGATCGGTACGATCGTCCCCGCGATCATCAAGACGCTCAAGATGATGTGGTCCTCGAGCAAGTACTACAAGGACAGCGCCAAGATGGTACGTCCGATCTGCTTCTACAGTCGGCAAAGGCGGCGCAGGGCTGTCTCTTGGGCCGCATTGCGCTCGCTCTCTGCGCCCGCGTAAGCGCGACGGTCGAGATCGACCACCTTCTCTGTGGCAACGACTTTGACGCGACCATCTCGCTTGTCGAGAGCGCGGGCATGATGCTCGAGCGGTACGCATCCTCGTCGTCGCTCCTCGTACCTCAAAAGATCCCACCCAGCTGGCACGACGTGTACACGGAGAACGACCACGGGTTCTGGGGCCCCTTTGACAGGACAGAGCTCTTTGGCCGCGTCGACGACGTCGCGCAGTGGTGCTCGGAGGTGCGGAGCGTGCTCATGATCCTCCGCCAGATCAAGCTCGAGATGGCACGTGTCGCCTCAACCTCACGAGCTGATCTTATTGCTATATGGACACTAGATTGAGCGCGTCCAGGAGCGTGGGCAGCCCAACGAGGTCGAGACGTTTGAGGCGATGCTCGCCGCCATGGACGCAGGGCTCTTCACGCACTGGGCCACGGTCGTCTTGTTCGATTCGGGAAGCCGTGGCCCGTGGCTACACGGCGTCGCCTTCCTCCGCAGCACGTCCAACGCGCTCCTCTCGTTCGCCCACAAGCTCGGCGAGTAATTGCGTTATACTAACACCAAGGATGCAAGCAGTCGCATTCCAAGACCTTATTTAGCGTCGGAAAATGATACACGGTCGGCGCTTCGCCACGTCGTACGGACATAAGCTTACAAGAAATAGTCGGGCGCGGGCTTCTTCGAGGGGACGCCGCGGGCGTCTTGGGGCGCGGCTTCGAAAATCTACAGAGCAACGCACATGAGGCGGTCGAACGCAAATGAGCAAGGGGCGACCTTGAACTTTTGCTCGAGGTTCTCGTCGAGCTCGAGGATCGCCGCGACGTTGCCGCATCGGTAGCAGTAGTTGGGCGCCGACCAGACGGTCACGAGCGCGTTGTTGAACATCGACTTGTGGCCTTCCATGACGAGCTGATGTGCCCGACAAATGAGCTGGATGTCGTTGGTTTGGTTGAACTTGTCGACCACGTCGCCGCCAAAGAGGTAGCCAGCGCCACGCGGGCTCAAGCCCCAGCCGTCAATGTCTATTGTACATGCGAGGTGATGCGACGTGCAAGGAGGATTCGACGCAAGTACCTTCCGGGTCCGACCACATGAGGTCGCACATGGCGCCGTCGTGCGGCACTTCTTGCTTCCGGTCAATAATACGGATCTAGGAGACGTTGAGGGCATGGGCTTGGTGTCGAGACGTGCATCGTACCTGGTCGAGCGTGTTGATTGACGGCGAGAGACCGCCGTGGACGCAGAAGATCTTGTCTTCGATGATGGCCGACAAACTGAGGTAGTCGAAGATCTCCGTGCAGTATCGCCACACGTTCACGGAGCCGTATTTGCGCAGGCACTCGTCGTAGAAGCCGTACACTTGCGTGATCTGACGGCTTTCGTGGTTGCCGCGGATGAGCGTAATACGGTCCGGGTACCGCACCTACAGTCCATGAGCGATCGCCCACGTTGCTCGTATAGGCGTACCTTCAAGGCGAGCAAGAGGAGGAAGGTTTCGACACTGTAGAAGCCTCGGTCGACAAAGTCGCCCATGAAGAGGTAGTTGGTTTCGGGGCACTCGCCGCCGACGTTGAACAGCTCCTTCAAGTCGTAGAATTGGCCGTGGATATCACCGCAGATCTAATGCAGATCTGATTCTTAGCCGTTGCGAGAGGCCATGCTGCGCACCGTCACGGGCGCATCGATGCGCTGGACGTTGCTCTCGTCCACGAGAATCTCGCGGGCCTTCTGGCACAGCGCCTTGACCTCCGACTCCTTGAGGTACTCGCAGCGCTTCAACTGCTCGATCTGTCTGTCCAGGTCGCTCATGGTGCTGGCGCCAGAGGTACCGCCCGTGCTGCTTGGGCTCGTCACGGCGTCGCTGCTCATGCTGGCTGTCGTCGGCCTCAAAGGCGAAATAAAGAAGGCAAGGCAAAGACTGGGTCCCAAGAAACCTCTGGCATCCGATTCACAAATCTCGTTCGAGCCCTTTCATTTGGCGTTTCTATGCGAGTACCCTCCACAAACAAATATCGATACGTAAGCCAGCGGCCGAAACGGACATCCTAATTAGGCGCAGTCGTTTGAAATTCGGGTCGGCTACAGCTGGCAGAGCTGCTGAAACAGATCCGCGGCCCGCGCATCGTCCCAGGGCGCGCTACGCGGACGCGCATAAGCGTCGCGGGCCGCCGAGGAGAGCCACGTACGCAGCAGCGATCGGCTCGAGACGGACGTCCAGAGCGGGCAGCGAAACGCGCTTGCGGCTCCTCCGCTTCACTGGATGTTACCGGCCCATTCCGCAGGAGGATAGGCAGTACCACACACTCCAGTGGCTTGGCAGTCGCAGCCTTGGCGCTGATTGGGGCCCGATGTAGCGACGGCAACGACGCATGCGCCGCGGACCTCGGAACCATACGGTTGCGAACCTTCGTGCGAGTGCTAATGGCTCGTCAGGACGCCGTCGACATCCACGAACGTACGTTGCCGCGTGGGGCAGCGACTGGCGTGCGACGTCGTCAGCTTGGTTGCCGTGCGCTGGGCGGTCGTCGCCGCACGCTGGCTTGGGTGCGATCGTGGGCGTCGACGCCGAGCGCGAGAGCGCTAGAACTCGGTAATGCTGATTCATACAGAGCCAAGGAGTACTGGAGAGCGACCGAAGATACTCGTTCTCGTGCTGAAGCTGCTTGATTTGGGCCCGGAGGTCCATGACGAGCTTGTCCTACGCAGCATGCTTCGATGCGCGATGCGATCTCGTCTCGTACGCCATTGTACCTGCGGGCTTAGGGCCACCGTTGGCTCGTTCTGTATTCGCGCCACGCCCATGGCAAACTCGAGCGTCCGCGTCGACTCGCGGCTAAAGTCGGGCGACGCATTGACGCATGCTAGCATCAGCGTCCGACTGCGCCCGCCGAGGCTGTCGATGAGCAGCTATCGTCATAGTAGCGTGCGGACGCAGCTGCATAGAATCTCGGCAGCAAACCATCGTGAGCTTCGAGTCCCGGTACGGCACGAACGTGGTCTTGTTGGTCGCGGCTGCATTGAGCGCTCCAATGACCTGGGCGAGAATGAATGGTGCTATGAAGGCGCCGTTGGCAACGTGCCTGGCTCAGACAGTACAGGCTCTTGTTGATGTATCCCGACTCCTTGAGCTGCGTGCCCACCGCACCCGTGTCCTAGAAGATGCATGCTGAGTCATGTGTCATGCAGACGACGGCCGGCATGTACGTACATGGGCGCGCTCGCTTCCGGCCAAGTCGACGATCGTCAACTTGCCATACTTGCGCACGCCGTTCGTCTCGCTGTCGACATACAACGTGACGAGGCAGTGGCTTCGGTTGGACCTGCACAAAGCTTTGTCATGGAGGGCAGGCAACGCAGCTACTCACCGGTCGTTGAGGCGGTGGCTCGAGTGCACGCGGTTGGCGGCGGCCGTAAGCACAACGGTCATGACTTCCTCGTACGTACTGCAAGCCACGACGGTGGCGTCTTCGAGGAAGAAGCCCGTGGCTTTGCTCCAGCGCACCGTGAGCGGACGCGCGCTTGGCGCGATCAAGTCGTGAACAGCCTCGTTGTAGATCTCGACGCACGTCACGCGCACTGCACTCTGGGTCTCGCCGAGCTTGGACGCGATGCAGTCCATGAGCAGCGCTACGCTGCGCGGCAAGAAGCCCTGGTTCGACCCGCGCAGGTCTAATACCACCTAAGATCCTATTTCATGTCGATGGCTGCGTACGCGTGGGCGGCACGAGGTACCGCTCGGGCCCAAAGATCGTGTGGGACTTGCCGGCGCCCGTCTAGCGCAAGAAGAGTCCGTTGCCAAGCGTCGAGACTTGCATTGGTGTACCTGGCCGTACGCAAAGATGGTGGACGCGTACCCGTCGACGGCGCTTTCCACGAGCGTGGTCATACCCGATGCGACAAAGGCAGCCTCCTGGGTCATGGCCGCGTCCAGGAAGCGGTCGCAGCGAAAGCTCGCAGCTGCATCGCCATTTGCGACGAAGACGCGGCCATCGGCCCACGAGATGGCGGACGGTCCATGCGTACTTGGTCGCGCCCGCACCGCGACCCGGATCTTCTCGCTCCGCATGCGACAGTTGTTTCCGATAACCGTCCAAGCAACGTTACGTCGCCCACTGGATTTATCCGCGCAAGATCGCGGCGTCGGCGGTGCAGCGACGACTCGCAAGCTACTTGGCCGTGGTACGCGCGTCCAGCATCCCGTGGGCGAGCGTCCCAGACCGAACGTCGTTACTGCGCACGCGATGTCGACGCCAGCGGCCCCTGTGACCTAATGCTGCGGTGGCCTGTCGCCCCAACGTTGAAGTCGCGTTGACGCCGCGGTCAAAGAAACGGGGCATCGTTGACACCGCGTGAGGTGCCAGAGACGCTGCGCACGCGGGTTTTCTTGCCGCGAAGTGTCTTTTACGCCACGAGAGTGCGACACCGAGGCCGTGTCTCTACGACGGCCCTTTGCGCCGCCGGCGATGGCGACGGCACCAGGCGGCGCACGAAGACGCTTTCACCGCCACCGGCAGCCACACAACTATATGCATCAGTGGTCTATAGCGTTAACGTCAACAGCACGCGTGCGCGACGGCCGCGGGGCGCTGCGATGATCGACCCGCCTCGAGGCAGTAATTGGGAGGTGCGGTTGAGCAACTTGTCGTGTTTTAAACAGAATCTCGACCGATGTGTTTTGATCAAGTACGGAATCTCGCGGACCCTTCAGGACCTTTGCAAATCGCAGCTGCCCCCGGACCAAGAAAAAACTAGCGTCATCGCGCCAACGTCGACGCCAATACGTCGTCCCACTCGCTGCACCATCAAATACACGTCAACTGCAAGTCGCCTGGATCCAGAGAGTCTTTGTATGGTCAAGTCGTCGCTCAGTGACCTCGGAGGAGCTACAACGGGGCTTGGAGTTGATGAAAAGTGATGGGGATCGGCCCAGGGTCCGTTGTTTGAGTGTTTAAAACACAAGTGGGGAGTGTTGGAAACAAAGGCAAAATGGCGACAGGGGCGCGCACAAAGACAAAGACTGAGGAATGGCGTTGACGCGGCGCGGGTCCCGGATCCTGGTCGAAGCAGATGGTATGTGGAGTTTAGAAAGCATGTCCTTCAAGCGACTCGTGCTCGTGACCGTCGGCCTCCCCGCGCGGGGCAAGAGCTTCGTCATGCGCAAGCTGACCAAGTACACGGCCTGGCTCGGGTTCCCGACCAAGATCTTCAACGCTGGCAACTACCGCCGCCAAGAAGGCATGGCAGCCATCGACGCCGCCTTCTTCGACGCCGAGAACGTCGACGCCAAGCGCATCCGCGACGAGGTACGCGACCTCCATCCCGTCCCAGGGCCTCAACCTCGCTCTATTAGCTCGCGATGGAAGCGCTCATGGAGCTCATTGCGTGGATCGAGGACGGCGGCCACGTCGCGGTCTTTGACGCGACCAACACGACCAAGGCGCGACGCGAACTCGTGTGGCAGACGCTCAAGAGCGTGCCCAACATCCAAGTCATGTTTATCGAAAACATTTGCGACTCGATCCCGATGCTCGAGGCCAACTACCTCCGGTACCTTCGTCGTCCGCTTTGTACTCCTATTATGCTCACGCGCGACGTTGCTAGCAAGCTCAAGAACGACGACTACATCAACGCCGACCCCGAGACGGCGCTCGCCGACTTTAAGGAGCGCGTCGCCAAGTACGAGGCGGTCTACGAGACGATCGAGGACGCGGAGAACGACGGGCGCATCTGCTACGTCAAAGTCTTCAACGTACGACCACATAGTGTAGTAGATCGCTCATGCACATGCGCTGTAGGCGGGCGAGAAGGTCCAAGCGCGCTTTTGCCAGAGCTTCTTGCCGAGCCAAGCCGTGTCTTTTCTCCAGAACATCCACCTCTTTGAGCGCAAGCTCTGGCTCGTGCGGCCAGGCCCGAACCGCAACGGCGTGCAGCACATCCTCGGCGGCGACGAGGAGCTCACGGAAGACGGCCACGTGGTCGCGCACGCGCTCGCCGAGTTTATGGTGACGGCGATCGCCGAGACGAAGCGGCCCATCGACGTGTGGCACAGCACGATGAAGCGCGCCAAGCAGACGTCGTCGTACATCCCGCGCGAGCACGTCAAGCGCGTGGTCAAGACGACGCTACTGAACGAGCTCGGCGGCGGGGACTTTGAGGGCTTTACGCGCGAAGAGCTTGCAAACTATTACCCGCGCCACTTTGACGCGCGGACCAAAGACAAGCTCCGCTACCGGTACGACGAGGCGTGCGAGCATGGATGGTCGATTCTAATCACGAGTAGGTATCCCGGGGCCGGGGGCGAGAGCTATATCGACGTCATTTGCCGTCTCCGCCCGCTCATCATTGAGTTTGAGCGCAAGAAGCGCGACTGCTTGATCATTTGCAGCGAGTCGATCATGCGCTGCCTCATGGGCTACTTTACGGGCGTCACGGCCGAGGACCTCCCGCACCTCCCGACCAAAGTGGGCATTGTCTACGAGCTCTCGCCGCACCGCGACGGCTGCGACATCAAGGAGCTCCCGCTCAACCTCCCCGACCAGCTCAAGGAGACGCTCGACGATTACATGCGCGATTTATAAGCGCCAATATTACATGTTTTCATTTACTAGTATACTAGTAGACCAGCTCGTAGACAACGAGAGAAGACCAACAGAAGAGCACTCGTCGCTGAGCAGATGAGTGGAGGCGTATCGTGGAGCCGTGTCCGACTTCCGGCACAAGCAGTCCTCTGACGTTTTTGATTAAACGACTAGACATACTACTGGAGACAGCGAGCGAGGCTGGGCGGTGCTTCGCTCGAAGAATGTGAAGAAGACCAGTAGAAGTAATAAGCTGCGCTGTATTGTCATTTAGCCAATCTCTCATTCCAATGGAGTAAAGCACTCCATTTAGAACTTCATCTCGTGGACGCGGTCGTTCTTCGTGAGCGAGAACTTGGCGTTGAGGTAGTGCTTGAGGGCCGGGACGGCGGCGATCTTCTTGAGAAGAGCGGCGTCGACGATCTTCTGGTCCTTCTTGCGCTGCTCCGAGACGATGGCAGCCTAGAAACAATACCATCAGCATTTGCGTGACTGGGAACTTTTGTTGTAGCGATTCCAAGCGCCGAGACGGCGCGTCACACAATAAAGTATGACGCGCCTTGTGTCACAAGTGGTCGTTTGACCCACCACAACAGATGCAAAGAGTGCAGCGTACCGTCGAGGCCTGGGCGAAGAAAGCCTCTTCGTCCTTCTTCGACGACGTCTTCTCGCGGGCGAAGTAGGCGTCGTTGATCTCCGGGAGCTTGACGTCCGAGATATCAACCTTCGTCGACGTGGCGATGACGAAGGCCTGGTTCACGCGGCGAAGCGGGACACCGTTGACCTTGTACGGGCCTACATAAAGAGCGAGATCAGCGTTGTGCTCTCACACACAGACATGCAGCGCCCGGATTCCTCAGGTCTCATAATCTGAAATTCCTCGGCTGGAATCGCGACAAGGGCTACGCCGGGCACACGACACCGCCACCGACGCCAGGATGACCGACTTCTCACTCCGATCCATCCCGACGCCGGCGCAGCATGCCGCATGGATCCATTGCGGCCCAGGTCTTGATGGCAGGCCTCTCAGGTGTCGTTTTTCATCGTCGGAATCCTTCGAGTGGGCGCATTCACATACAGGACATGCAACGTACCGGTGACGAGGAGCGTGCCCGAAGCAAGCTGCTTAAGGAACACGACGCGCTTGCCACGGAAGCGGCCCGAAAGGAGGATGAGGACCGTGCCGGGGGTGATCGAGGCGCGGAGCTTGGCGGTCTTGACCGAGTTGCGGGCGGTCTTGGCCGACGGGAGCGGCTTCGGGACGTAGTCCGTGGGGTACCACTTGGGCTTGCGGAGCGTCTTGGTGACGACAGCCTTCTTCTGCGAGGCCTTGGGGCCGGCCTTGAAGCGGCCGTTCGTGCGGGCGAGCGAGTTGGCCGAGATGGCGTTGATGCCACGGGCCAAGACAACGTTCTGGCGGCGGGCGACCGTCTTCTTGGCGGCGGGCTTCTTAGCGGCAGTCTTAGCAGGAGCCATCGATTACTTCTTTCTCGAAATGACAAGTGGACGCGAGATTGCACTCGCGCTCATGCCAACCACCAATCGCCTCTCGCACCAGTCATTTGCCACTCGTATCCGGACATCATCCGTATAAACCTCTCAAACTACATATTGGATGCGACAATATTTCAGCCGAAATTGGCGCCAAGCAACCACCCCAGCGCTCGAGCCACACAGAGGACAGAGATGGCGTGGAGGCTTGTGATAGGCGTCGCCTCGGTCTCTCGTCAGTGCTGGAAAGATTGTTGGCGCTACGATACGACAGCGCGGTCATGGGAAGGTGACGCCTGAATGCTGAAGGCCAATGGGTCTCCGAAGATCGGACCATCGCCGTCGATGACCTCGGGCGACTTTATCGTTATTGCACGTGGGCAAGCTACGGTGTGTCGTGCGCTTGGCCATGCATGGCTCTATCGCAGCACCATTGATACGCGCTGTCTCCCGTCCCGTACACTATAGGCACCACGAGATTGCTTTCCCGGGTTCCATCTCGTATTTTACGTTGGAAAAAACGGGAATTGCTACGTATGCTCTCTTCTCGGCAAAGTGACGATGAGGTACGCGCTCTTCCGGGCCCTTTCGTCGCTGCACCTCGTCAATGAGAAATCTCAGAAATCGCCGCCTCTGCCACCTTCCAACGTTCCACTGGCCATGTTCGATTCGGCACATGTGCCGAAAATAATCACGTCGTGCCACAATCGAACTCGTCGAGCAAGAGAAGAATGGCTCCGTCCATGGCAACGACGCGGCTCCGGAAGGAGTACGTGGCGCTGAAGAAGAAGCCGGTCGACAACATCGAGGCCGTCCCGCTCGAGAGCAACATCCTCGAGTGGCACTACGTCATCCGTGGCGTCGGCGTCTACGAAGGCGGGCTCTACCACGGCAAGCTCAAGTTCCCGCCCGAGTACCCGATGAAGCCGCCGTCCGTGTACATGGCGACGCCCAGTGGCCGCTTCGAGCCCAACACGCGCCTCTGCTTGAGCATGTCGGACTTCCACCCGGAGACGTGGAACCCCATGTGGTCGGTCGGCAGCATCCTCACGGGCCTCTTCTCCTTCATGAACGAAGACACGCCGACGACCGGGAGCATCGAGACGACGGACGAAGAGAAGCAGCGCTTGGCGGCGGCGTCCTTGGCGCACAACTGCCTCCCGACCAACACGACCTTTCGGAAGCTCTTCCCGCACTACGTTGAGCTGCATGACGAGCGCGTCAAGGAAGCCGCGGCGAAAGCGGTCTCGGGCGTCGAAGAAGGACTCGACAAGATGGCGCTTCAAGCGTAGAGCTGTCTCGTGTTCATTGCACATATATATATACCTCTACCGATCGTCTAAGGTCTCGTTACGTCGACGTCGGTGACGACCTGCATGTAGAGCTTGCCGAGGAGCATGATGGCGCTCATGGCGCCATAGCCCACGCAGACGTAGAGATACATCGCGTGCGTAGCCCAGTATGCGTTCATCGCTGGCAGCATCGTACCGGGTCGCACAAGTGGGAGCGCGGCCTCCTTCGGGAGCTCGAGCCCGAGCGTGGCCGCGCGGTGGCGGAGGTAGACCCACGCACACGCCCCACCCGCGAGCCGCGTTAGAAACTGCGCGAGGGCCGAGTAGAGCACAAACGACAGACTCATAGTGGCAATGGACGGCGAGAGGACGCGCCAATGCAGTGAGATCTCGAGCACAAAGAGACTCGGGATGATGAGCGAGCTCGCCAGGTCCAGCACCATGTTCTGGCGCGCCTTGAGGAGCCGGCTGCATTGCACGTGGGCGCGCTCGAGGACCGGCGCGGACTCTTTTCCAAGGCAATTGCTCAGGAGCCACGTGCCGAGGTCGTTGAGGCACTTGCTGTCGCGCGTAAAGATGCGGCCAAACGTCAACAGCAAGAGGAGGCCGTAGACTGCGTCAAAGCGCTGCGTGCCTGTGAATGCCATGTACCTACTCAGTACGCAAAGTAAGTGGCATCCAGAATGAAGATAGACCAACCCGAATATGCTATCGAAAAGCTGCAACAGCGTCAGCAAGATCACGTGGTCTTCCTCGGACGTGGCGTAGAGCGCAACGAGGCGCCAGAGATGCCCGTATGTGCCCATGAGGACGTAGTAGGCGAGCGTCGCAAAGATGCTCTTGGACGACCCGTTGCCATTTTGGCCAAAAAGGTTCTCAACCACAAAGGTGGGCAGGGCGTGGATGCACATCTAGTGGGTGGCATCAGCGCATAGCAATCGTGTGTATCGTACCTGGAACGAGGTGAAGAGGAGGCAAAAGCCGCGGCTGCGCGACGCGTGCCATTGGGACCGCGTGCCGAGCGCCAAGAGCACATGCACGAAGAAGAGAGGCCCGACCGCGATGAGGTTGATGGACGGCTCGAGGTACGGCAGCACCATCGACGCCGCCGAGTAGAGCATGACATCGTAGCCGGCGAGTTGTGGCTGGCCGAGACGGACAAGGACTTGTTGCACATAGCTGATGTCACGCTGCGGGCGTGGAGAAGGCAGAGCTGCAGAGATCGCGTGCAGCGACGGGCCACACGCTGCGACCGTCGAATTGCGACGACTGCTCGTCGCGTAGTACGGGTACCCGTACATGACTGCAAAGTAGAGAGCAAAGTGGACAGTGACGAGGACCTTGAAGAGGCTTGTCGTGTGCCGCGGGCTCTCCCAGAGGTGTTTGTTGGGCGGCGCGGCGAGGTAGACGAGCTCCGATGCGAGCTCGGCGCCAACGAGGCAGACGTAAAAGCCGCGGCAGTAGAGGCTCCGCGCCGCCCGAGGCTGCGAGAGGAGCCATGGGTACCCCACAAGGACAACGTCACCGAGACGCGTGAGGAGTAGCCAGGTAATGTGGGCTGGGAAGGCGTCGATGGCCGCCGTGTCGCGATAGTATTTGGCAAGAGCGTAGGCTCCAAACGACGTCAGCGACGAGACGAGGAGGACGCACCGCGCATGGTGCGAGCACAGAATCTAGATGCGCATCAGAGAGCGCGAGAAGACGAAGAGGAGGAGTACGATCCAGAGGTCGTGCGGAAGCGCGCAGACAAGCGAGCGCACGTCGTTGGCGTCCGACATACCGCAATCGTATCTCTTGCGTTGAAACCGAGTGCATCTCGTTCTGCTTCTCCTTTTCTGATAGGTGAATGGACACTTCGAAAATGACGTTGCTGCGTTCGATACACCTTGCATCCGAGCGCAGCTTGGCTGTATGACGTAACCCAAGCAACGCTCGAGAGGCCAATTGTCACTGTGGAAAACACGAAACATGGAAATTTGAAAGTCAAAGTTGCGATTCGAAAGACGATTCGACGTGTCTAGCCGCACATAGTACTAGTGTGCGCTCTCTATTTGCAATGCACTGAAGCTGTAAGAGGTCCTTCTTGCGTCCAAGCACAGCCTGCACCGGCTCATGTTGGTGAAATTGTCCAGGGGCTCGATCTCGCCCTCGAGTATAAACAGATTCATCGCCGACGATGACGAGCTACCCGACGTCGGTTTGTCGTTTGCTGCTTTCTCAGCTCTAGAGACTGCGCGATTGAAGAGCTGCACTCTCGGGCGTCACAGAAGGGTTCGATCCTCGCCTTCGACATGTCTGGACATTTCATAATCCGCCCCTAACGACGGCGATACAGAGCTGTTGGCGACAGCACTCGAGTCGCAACGCAACTGGAACCCTTTTTGTCTCTGGGGAAAACTCCATTTCAATGATTTTTCCAATCTACTGTCCTAGACATTACAATGTGCGCTGTGTCGATGCAGACGTCGATTCTGGAGTAGTCGTACATGCTCGCAACGCACCGAGTCACATGATCTCACAGCCGGCCCTTTGCCTCGACCAGATCCTCTTTGCTCGTCAGCCGCCTCGACCACAAAGCTCCGTTGTGTAATAGTTGTTGCGCGGTCTCTGTCCTCACTTCCTTACCAATATTGTCGCGTCCATAGCGAGGAGCCATCGCTGTTTTGCGCTCCGTTTACTCGGACGCTGCACGGCGGCTGGGATAATGGTAGCTCGAGCTCCTGGCGCGGGAAGATCGCATGCGGAAGAGTCCACCACCAATGCTCGGCCAATCAGATGCGCTGAATTCGCTTGATACACCAATCACATTTGTTTCGAGCCCTCGACCAAGCATGAGTGCCGCCGCCGACGTCGTGACCTTGGACGACTTCGCCCTCAAGTTTCCGGACGACGTCGAAGAGAGCTTCAGCGCTGCGTACGGCCAATCGCACTGGGACGAGATCAAGAAGGCCCTCGCGCGCCCGTACGCTGCATTCTCATTGGCGTGGGTGACCCACCTCGCTCGTGTAGGCCCGCGTACACATCGGTGCGCGTCAACACGCTCGTGACGGACCAAGCCGCACTCGTTCTCAAGCTCAACGAGGCGCTCAAGGACTTCAACGCGCGCTTGGCGTCGGCGGGCCGCCCACCGATCGTCGCTGTGCCGCACGTCTCCCTGCCCGACGTCGTCATGGTGCCGTCCGCACCGCGTATTGCGCTCGACGTCGCAGACGTCATGAGCCGGAAGAAGATCATTGTCGACCGCCTTTGCGGCGAGGCCGTACTCCGTGGCAGCGACATCTTTGCCCGTGGCGTCATGTGTGCGAGCAGCGCGCTCAGCCACAGCGAGCCGGTGGCCATTTTCGTCGATCTCGACCACTCGGCCACGCGAGGGAGCGACGCCGAGCTCCACACGGGGCGCAAGGTGCTCATTGCACAGGGCACGACAGCCATGGCGCGCAGCGAGATGTTTCGTGCGATGAAGGGTCTGGCCGTCGCCGTCAACACCCGCGTACGTCACATTTTCGACATTTTTCTCTCCAACTCAAAAAGGTTCATGTAGTTTTGCTCGGACGCGCCGCCGCTCAACGGCGTGCTCGCTGGTGAGCTCTACATGCAGAACACGCCGTCGAGTGTCGTCGCCCATGTGCTCAACCCAGAGGCGGGCGACACCGTCCTCGACATGTGTGCGGCACCGGGCGGCAAGACGTCGCACCTCGCAACGCTTATGCAGAACAAGGGCACGCTCGTGGCGTGCGATCGCAGTAAGCGCAAGGTGCTCGAGATGAAGAGCTACTTTGACTCGATCGGTCTCTCGATCATCACACCGATTCGCGTACGTCCTGCATTTTTTCAAATTTGAGGTTGAGATTGAGATTGACAATACGATGATTCGAGTAGCTGGATTCGACGCAGTCGGTGCGACCAAAGGACAGCGAAGTCTTGAGCGTCCAAGAGATCATTGCCGCGGCGGCCAAGGCGCGCACGAACGAGAAGCTCCTTCAGATTGACGGCTTTAGCCCCGAAACTTTCGACAAGGTACACGACCTTTGGCGCGACGACGGTGGAACTCATTTCTTATCGAGTAGATTTTGCTCGACCCACCGTGCTCGGCGCTGGGACTGCGCCCGCGGCTCTTGCACGCGTGCAACATGAGCGAGCTCGAGCAATATTCCAACATGCAGCGCAACTTTCTCTGGGCCGCGGTCTTTCTCCTCAAGCCCGGTGGCACGCTCGTGTACTCGACGTGCACGGTCAACCCGAACGAGAATGAAAAGATGGTCGCGCACGCACTCAAAGAGTACCCGCTGGAGCTCGTCCCGCAGTCGCCGATCGTGGGCGCGCCGGGCCTGCTCAACATGGGCCTCTCGCCCGAGGATGCGGCCAAGGTCCAGCGCTTTGACCCGTCCGACGCGATCGATACGATGGGCTTCTTTTGCGCCAAGTTTACCAAGACCAAGTCGATTCGTGCTACTGCCCTCGTTGCGGAGGCATAGATGGTATCGTGGTAGACAAGGAAGATAGTAGTAATACATGCATTGAGGGTTGCATTTGTATGTGTCTTCCACAGACAAGGGACGTGACGACGACAAGGGGCAGCTTAGAAGCGGCGCTGGACGTGGCTCATAAACTCGGAGCGCGTGCGCGGGTCCGACTGGAAGCAGCCGAGGACGGAGCTCGTGACCGTGGACGCGCCGCTCTTTTCGACACCGCGCATCGTCATGCACATGTGCGTGGCTTCAATCACGACGCCGACGCCGAGTGCTCCGATGGCCTTCATGAGGCCCTGCGCGATCTCGATCGTGAGGCGTTCCTGGACCTGGAGGCGGCGGGCAAAGACGTCCGAGATGCGCGCGAGCTTGCTCAGGCCGAGCACCTTGCCGTTCGGGATGTAGCCAATGTGCACCTTGCCCACGAACGGGACCATGTGGTGCTCGCAGAGCGAGTAGAGCTCAATGTCGCGGACGATGACCATCTCCGAGTAGTCTTCGGTAAAGACGGCGTCGTTCAAGACGTCTTCCAGCGTCTGCGTATAGCCCTTGGTGCAGTAGAGGAGCGCCTTGGCCATGCGCATCGGCGTCTTCACGAGGCCCTCGCGGTTGACATCTTCGCCCAAGCACTATTCCATATGGCATGTTAGCATCAACTCGCATGCAGCAGCGTTGCTCTACCTCGAGGAGCACCTTGACGGCCGCGGCCATCTTCTCGAGCTTCTCCTTGTCGTTGAGGTGGTCGTCCTTGGAGCGGACCGACTTGGTCGTCGTGAGCGTCGTAATGGAAGTCGCGTTGGTCGTAGCAGCACCGGGAGCCATCGTCGACATGAGCTGGCAAATTGACAAATGGACAAATCCTCGTGGATGTCCGGCGCTCTCCTTCACGGGGTTCAAGCCCAAGTGATGCCGGCCCACGACCGCATTCCGGATAATTTGCAAAATATTATTTCGGATTTCACGCTATTTTTAGAATAAAACGACGCGCACCAGCCTTTGACGACAGAGGCACCACACGTTTATTTTAAATAAATTATGACTATTTAAATGAAAGCAGCTCAACACAGTGTACTTTTCAAGCGTTTTAAACAGAAGAAAGGTGTAGCGAATCGGCATCCTGCTGAGCACGTGCCCGTGCGCGTCCGTAGTGGTGCATGATTCAATCATGTCGATATGAAGATACTATGATACCGCAGGACGGCTATGATTGGCCCCGTGTGACGTGCCACGGCGTGATTGGCGCATTCGTTTTATACAGTGTTTTAAACGGTTTGATACGGGGTGGAGCAGTATCCGGACGATTTCGAGAGATTCCCACCATCCCACTGGAGCACAGCAGCACGACGCAGCAAAGAAGTCCTATCACCGGGACAGACGAATTGGTGATAAGTGATCGCACTTCGAGCTCCACGCTGCAGGGACAGCGCCCACGGTCTTCCGAGCGTGATATCTGGTCGTCTTTCGAGGAGCTTGAAAAAAGTATGCTGGAAGCCCATCGACTTCCACGTGGTTTACAGTGCCCCACGGTGAGGTGTATGCGAAACCCAAGTGAAAAACAGCCTATTTCACACAGCGCATCTGCGCCACTTCAAGTTGGCTTGGCGAGTCCCTTGCGCACACCACCGATACCGCCGATCATTGTCGACGCAGCTAAAGTATGATAGGCTGCAGCGTGCAGCTGACGCTGTCGTTTAATCGACTACTCCCTCAATGCGGTGCTGATGACGATTCTGTCGGCGCCGGCGATCGTCAGCAACCGGAATTCATCCGCGATCCCAAATTTGCAAACACATTTGCAAACACAATAGGCCGGAGTCCGGATACGACAAATCCGGATAAGCGGCTTTTCGGAGTTGGGACAAAATTATTCGGACAAAATCCATGGGACAAAATCCCCGGAGGCGACCCGGAGCGAGCGAAAAACAATCCAACTTCGTTGACCAAGTTCTCGATGGGGATGGTCGCTCCGTGGGCGTCGGCCGGGAACGAGACGTCTGCGGCCGAAGCCAACCGCCGCGCCTTCGCAGTCACAGGCTTCTTCTACGTGTGTGTATTCGCACTCAGTGTCGTCCAGCTGGTCCGCAACTGCAAGAGCTACGCTGCCTGGACTCAGCAAAAGGTGGCGCATGCGATCCTCGTGCTCTTGGCCTTGACCCGCGCCGTCTTCCTCCTCGCCGTGGGCGTGAACGACTGGTGCCACGTAGCTGGCACGGGCGTGCTATCGCCAGCGTGCGAAGCCAACGGTATCGAACGCCAGCTCTTTTACGCCGCGGACGAGCTGCCCAACCTGCTCTTCTTCTCTCTCTACCTCCTCATGGGCCTCTTCTGGGCTGAAGTGTACTACAATGCGACGGACCAAGTTGACTTTTTCAGCTACGTCGTCAAACCCACGGCCATGACACTCCATGTGTGCGCGTACATCCTCCAGATTGCGCTCTGGGTGCTCTACGCCGACCCGTGGCGATCGGAAGGTACAACGCCATCGTCGATCGCACGAGCTCCCGGTGTTTCTTCTTAGATCACTACATTGGTCGTGGCTACGCAGCGTACACAACCACCATGTTTAGCATCGTCACGCTGGCGTTCCTTGTCTACGGGCGCCTCGCCTACATCGAGCTTCGGTACGCCTCCTTCGTCATGTGCTCAGCATGGCATGCTCGCCATTAGGTCGGTGCCGGTGGATCTGGGCGTGCGCTCCAAGAAACTGAAAGAGGTGACGCGCATGACTGTTGTTTGCACGACGTGCTTTACGAGCCGGTCGCTACTCGTCATCTACCTCGCGCAAGACCACGTGCAGCTCGGCACGCACCTCTCGTGGGGCGTCATTCTCCTCTTCTACGCGCTCCTCGAGCTCCTCCCGATCGGCGTCATCCTTCACTTCCACCGCCGGTTTCCTCGGCCATCAACGACGAGTGTCGAGAACAAGGTCTTGTACCGGTTCTTGCCCGACGACGACGATGTCTACGGTATCGAGGACGGCGGCATCGTGGCCTGCGAGGCGCCGCTTCTGGCCGACACGGACGACTCGGACGATAGCAGCGGCAACATTTAACAACATGAAAACTAACTAAATCGGCGTGTAGTCGCGGCGCTTGAACTGGTGGATGCGGCGGTACGCCGAGTGCATCGCAAAGACGGTGCAGAGCACGAGCGCCGCACACATGATGAGCGACGTCAGCGAGTCCTCGACCGGGTCGCTTCCGAAATGCATGTTCTTCACCTTCTTGACCGGGTGGTACGCGCAGAGCGTCTCCCACGACGACGTCGCCGCCACGTGCGCGTCGAGAATACCGCGAAACTCGTCCATAGGACAGTCGAGCGCGCTGCATTTGCCGAGCTGCACGGGCGCTCGGCCCGTGAGCGGCGACCACAGAAACGTGCGCACCAGCTGGCGACCGTTCTCTTCGTGGAGCTCAAAGTACATGGTCGTCGCGGGCGGTAGCGCGGTCGTATTGAATCCCGGGGCACGGGCCTCGCCCGGCATTTCAAAGCGCCAGTCCAAGAGCAGTCCCATGCCGTGCAAGAGCTCGCGGTGCCCCGTGTACGCGTAAAACTTGTACGGCGACGACGGGCTCACGGGTGCGAGGTTGGCGAGGAGCATCGCGGGAAAGCCGCCCATGTAGTACGTCACTTGGCGCGGCGTCCCGAGGAAGCGCTCCATGCGCTGCGTGAGCGCGAGCTCTTGCAGCTCTTGGTACATGGGGTCTGTGAGCCCGAGCGTCGGCGGCAGGCCCTCGAGCCGGTCGAGCTTAGACATGTCGGCAAGCACATTGAGGCTCGTGATCGTATCCGTGCCCGAAAGATCCGTGCCACACACCTTCGAGAGGGATTGCACGAGCGGCGCGTGGGCTTTTAGCAGCGCCTTTCCGCGCGTCGCGCTATAGGCGGCCAAGTCGGCGCTGAGCGTCTCGGCGCACGGGCCATCCGTGACGCCAAACTCAAACTCGTTGGACGCGAGCTGCATGACGATCGGGATCGGGTTGGGGAACGGGAGGTTGCTGTTGACACTCGGGTAGAGCCCGTACCCAAACGTCGTCGCGCTCTGGCCGCAGCTCATTGCGGCGTCGGCGCGAAAGTACGTCTCGAAATGGCGCTTCTGCTTGAACGTCGGCGAGAGGAAGTGCGCGCTGTCGACGTACACGGACCGCGTGTGCTGACCGGCGGCGTACATCTGGCGCATGCCAGCGTCCGTGAGCTGCATGAAAGGCACGCCGTACTTGTCAAAGTTGGCTGCGTTCTTGGGACAGAGGATCGGGGCGGCGTCGCTGGGCGCGCGGTTACCATGGTTGGTCAAGGCCACAACAGCGCGAAGCGACGAGCTACGAGCGCATGAGCGTTGTGGCACAGACCGTCGTCGTCTCCTACCTTGCTGCGTTGGCCATGGTCAAACTGAAAATGGTTCCGAAAATCTTCAGGTTGAGGTTGGGTCGTTTCACTTGAAATGAAATTATTACTTACAAACATCAAGCTATATATTAAATCGGGCGAAAAAGTATCCAAAAGCAAACTCGTGTCATTCTTTTTTCGCCTCAACGGAGCGATCTTCGGCAGGTCTCGTCAGGCCCAGTGGCCAGCGCAAGACCAAGTCGGCACAGCACCACCCGTTGGCGGCCCAAACTAGAGTGGATGGACGCGGATCTGATCCACCCAAACCTGTGGTCGATTGTGAAGGTAACCACTTTCGAGTGCTTCGATTTCCAAGCACCGACTTCGAATCCAGTCTCTAATTCCTCCTTCCATAGTGAAAGTTCCTGCATTTCTTGATGGCTTCATCTCTGCGGGTGGTTCCAACGGTTGACATTATGAAATTGACTACAAATCGACTGGAAACCACATCCCAACCGTGATGTCGCGACCAGATCTTGCCGCCCAAGAGCTTCCTTTGACGACGACCACGACGCTGCATACCCATACAGGAGGAAGCTGCCGGAGTGATGTCCGCACACACCCAGATATCGACACTGGCCGCGTCACAGCTGCCACTCGCGCCTGGTCACAGGAATCGAATCTCGGCGAAACGAATCTGCGCCGCACACACTATTTCGAGCCACGCACGAGACCAACACGCGAGCCAAACGCTTTAAGTCGCTGTGACGAACCCCTTAGATCGACTGCAAAAGTTACGAAACAGCCAAGGCTGCATATAAGACCGGCGCCACCCAGGGGACATAATACCACGTAATTGTGATGCGAGGCGGTGCCCAAGTTAAATACGAGAAGACTAGACACCGAGACAGGAGTTCGTCGACTTGTTCATTCGCCGGCTGCTTAGATATAAGACCAAGGGCGATGATAACAAATAACATGACGAGGTGCTCCGTGTTTTGCTTGCAGTCGTTGCTCCATGGTGGCGTTAGGCTGGTTTGGACTTGGCAAGAAGAGAATGCGGAGCCAACCACTGTGGCCATTAATGTGCGTCTGGGATTCGCGCGTTCCTGCCTCAAAGAAGATACTTTGTCGCGGATTCAACCTGGTTCTGGAGGTGCCACATTAAAGTGGGCGGTCTCTTCACCACGTGAGCGTGTACAGTTGGCGTGTATTCTCCATGGACGGGAAAATACACTTTAGATTTCACCAAAGGCGCTGGTCTCCACGAGCGCTAACGCTGAGATTATGCATGGGGTGCTGCTTCCTGGAATGGAAGGTGTGCGCCAAAAAATTCAGAGTTTAATTTCGGCACCTTCGATTTTGATGCCACTTTGGTTCGCTCATTCGAATCGAAATGCCGAATTTAGGAGCGAGGGGCAACCGATTGCATGATTGGTCAAAATCGTGGGGGTTCTGAAATTGTGCGGTGGGGATTGGCTGATACGACGGGATTTTCGAAGAGCTCACCTCCTCCCTCGGCCCATTCGAAATTGGCATGGGCCGTAGCAGAAGTCGTTCCCGAACCCGCTCGCGCAGCCGAAGCCACGGCCGCCGCCACCGCGGCCGTGACCGTAGCCGTGACCGCAGTCGCGACCGTAGCCGTGACCGCAGCCGCCGCCGTGATGACGACCGCCGCCGTCCCGCGCCGGAGCCGGCGAGCCTCCTCGTCCGTGGCATCCCGCAAAACACGACGCCCGAGGATCTTCGCAAGGCGTTCACGCGCCGCGAGGGCGACATCCGGGACGCCTACATCCCGAAGGACCACATGACGGGCGAGCACCGTGGCTTCGCCTTCATCGAGTTTGCCGACATTCGTGAGGCCCGCGAGGTCAAGCACCAGATGGACCGCACACAGTTTATGGGTGTTGAAATCGGCGTCCTTTTCGCCAAGGAGCGCCGCAAGACGCCAGAGCAGATGCGTCGGCAGGAAGCCATCGATGCCCGCGCGCGCGACCGTCGCAGCCGCAGCCCCGATCGTCGCAACAGCAGCCGCGATCGCCTTCGTCGCTCGAAATCGCGCTCGCCGTCGCGGTCGCCGTCTCGTGAAAAAGCGCGTCGCAGCCAAAGCGGCAGCCCTGCCAAGCGCAAGAACTCATTCGGTATGGTCTCATCATCGCCTTCAGGAGGCGCTCATAATGTCCTGTGCTAGAGTAATGCGGATGCACCCACTTCGTACACTACGCAGCATTGTGTTGTTGGTCGCACCACCTCTCAAACCGTGTGTAGATGCGCACGCGTCAAGGCTTCGTTAACTTGATGATCCAAGAAGAGTGTGTCTTATCATGAGTGTTCAAGTCCTTGGGCATGGACGACGTACGTGCAAGGAAGATGGTCAAGCGCGAAGCACGCGCATCAGGATGCCCAAGGCAAAGGTGCACACGTCAAGCGCAATTCCGCTGCTTAGTACGTAGACACACAAGCAGCCTCGACGAGTCATATTAAGCACCAATATCGACCGTATGCGCTAGCCGCCAATGAGGATCATGGGCCGGTTCTTGGCGCTGGCAATGCCATACATGTCGCCGTGGCCGCCGAGCGCGAACTTTTTCCGCTTCACCGCGGCCTGCACAATGAGCCGGAGCTCGTCGTCCGAGAAGCCCGCGCGGAGAGCGTCGCGGAGACTCACTTCCGTGTGGCCAAACAAACAGACCTTGAGGTTGCCGTCGGCCGTGAGCCGGAGCCGGTTGCAGCCACCGCAAAAGTGCTCGCTCATGCTCGTGATAAAGCCGAATCGACCGCGCGCGCCGTCGATCGCGTACGCCTTGGCCGTGTCGTGGTCGTCGTCGGCGAGCTTGCGCGTCCGCAGCGGGAACGCCTCTTCGATGCGCGTGAGCATCTCGCGGTACGGTACAAACGTGCGATCGCTCCACTGGTTGCTGTCGAACGGCATCCACTCGATGAAGCGGACATCGATTGGCTTGTCGATCGTCAGCGCGACAAAGTCCGCCACTTCGGACAAGTTGAAGTCGCGCATGACGACGCAGTTGATCTTGACGGGCACGGATGACGTGGCCGCCGCCACTTCGATCGCCGCCATGACCCGCGCAAAGCCTTTCCGGCGCGTAATGTGCTCAAACTTGCGTGCGTCCAGCGTATCGAGCGAGATGTTGAGCCGCGTGTGGAGCGCTGTGAGCGCCGACGAGTGTTTTGGTAGCGCGATGCCGTTGGTCGTGACGCCAACCGACGCGATGCCGGGAATCGCATGCAGCGCCTGCGTCAGCGGGATTATGTCCTTGCGCAGGAGCGGCTACGACAGTCATAGAAGCGTGAGCTCTCCGTGCACGACGCAAGACGTACTTCGCCGCCCGTGAGCCGAAGCTTTGTGACGCCATGGGCCGCAAAGAGCGATGCGAGCCGGACGATTTCGTCGGTCGTGAGCATGTTGTCGTGAGGCTGCAATGGCACCCCGTCGGCTGGCATGCAGTACTGGCACCGGAGGTTGCAGCGCTCCGTGAGCGAAATACGCAGACAGGTATGCACGCGCCCAAAGGTATCAACGAGGTTGTCTTCCTTCTCCTGATCCATAATGTGTGAGACGTCCGTTGAGCGAAGCGCTGCACTGTACCGCGGCTTGTAGCTGCGCGACGAGCGCCCGCATGGCCGCCACGTTGTCTTCGGTCGATGGCGCTGCTGGCTCGCCCGAAGCGCGTACAAAGTCTGCAAGAGACGGACCGGCCTGGAGCCTTGAGCGGCGCGGCGTGACGTGCGTCGCGGTCGAGAGCGCGCGCTGGAGGAACCGCGCGGCCATCATCGCGACAAATCAGATGGAGAAATCCGGATGCGATCGTCCGGAAGGTTCCGCCGCCAAAAACCTTGCTTTTTGTATGAAGCGAGGGGTCGGGTTGTGCTTGCCGTTTGGTGCAATGTCAGTGTTGTTACGGTATATTTGGAACATTCACGCGACGTTTTACGGTATGATGCTTCGGTAATCTCGACAAAAACCCAGATTTTCGGTAGAAACGGTGTGTCGTTTAGGAGAAACCAGAACGGAAATATCGCACCTGCACTCTCCAAGCACACTGCTCCAAGCACGCTATCCCAGCACGGCATCAACACTTGAGTACGCGGCACCGTGGACAAGCTATCCAGACTTCGCGGATACACAGCAAAATAGAAGCTTGCGTCTCGGGGTCCATGCTGCAACCCAGTTAGCGACAAAAACGCCCTCCTCGTGTCATTTTCGCTCCACGCATTATGGAGACGTACGTTGCCATTGAATGACTTGTTCAATCTCACTATTGATGCTGGATAACCTCCTATGTCCGTAGCCGCTTCGCAGGAAAGCGTCGTTTTGAATGGTTTAGCTCCAAGCCGTATTTTATAACACAGTTGACATCAACCATCGCGATGTTCGCAACCTTTTGGACTACCCTCAAGGCAATTCTCGTGACGTAGTGGGCCAAAGCGCCTGAACCCCGTTCGGAGCCACGTCGCTCAGTGCATGCCAAGCGTGCTAGTTTGCACGGTTGCGTTGGTTTGTTCAATCCCGTGTGAACGAGCAGAATTCGCCACTCCCCGTGCTCCCGTACGAGCGACTCGGTGCGTGGGGCGACGGGTTGCCAGAAGAAAGAGGGCAGTTGTCTCCGTGCTGCAATCTAATTAGGGTGCGATTGCGTAGTTGCTTGCCTCATCATGACGGCCTTTTCTTCTCGTGCGGCAGCTTTCCGAGCTCACTTCAATCTTCGTGGACCCAAGATCGCCGTCCATCTTGAAGTTTCCATGACGTTCACGTGAGCATATATCCTAATTAGGCCTCCGCCCACCTGGTCCAACATCCTAATTCGGTCCTTTTTGCATTGGACCATATAAAAAGTCCGAATTTCGATTGCCGCAACTTGGCGTTTGCGTCATCGTGTACGTAAGCACCAAAGGTCATTTTCGGTGCCGGTCACTTGCGAATTGACCGCCAAGGACACGGACGACGACCATGACGATGATGGCTTCGGCGCTCGACTGGATCGAACGCTACGACAACCTCGACCTGCTCGAGCCCTACTGGGCAGCGCTCCAAGCGCGTTGCTCGGACTTTACCATCTACTTTTGGTGCACGGTGACACTCTCGACGCTGGCGCTCTTTGGCGGCTCGCTCGTCTACGCCCTCATGGACGCCACGCCCGCGCTGCGCAAGTACAAGATCCAGCCGACAAAGCCTCCGACCATCGCGCTCTACCTGCGCTGCCTCAAGCTCGCAGTCGGGAACCACCTCCTTATCCACATGGGCTTGCTCTACGTCAACTTGCCGCTCATGCAGTGGCTCGGCATCTCGGTCTCGTCGCCGCTTCCCAAGCCGTAAGCCATCACGACAGCGTGCATCTCGGTACTCATCCTACGCATAGGTCGACAATCGCGCTCCAGTTTCTCGCGTGCATGCTCGCGGAAGACTTTTGCTTTTATTGGTGCCATCGCTTCTTGCATTGGAAGCGCATTTACAAGCACGTGCACAAAGGTATGTACAGATTTTCTAGTTGTCGTCTGAGATCTGAGATCTGAGTTGGAAATCTAGTGCACCACGAGTACCGCGCACCGTTTGGGCTCACGGCCGTGTACACGCATCCGCTCGAAGAGCTTTTGACGACGGGCGCGACGATGGCGGGCCCGCTCCTCGTGTGCCGGCACATGCTGCCAATCTGGATCTGGACGACGTACCGCTTGCTCGAGACGATCGACTCGCACTCGGGGTTTGAGTTCCCGCTGGCGCCCGGCCATTTGATCCCGATTCTGAGCGGTACGCTGCGTCACGACTACCACCACGAAAAGTTCGACTGCAACTTTGGCTCAATGTTTTCGTTCTGGGACTGGGTCTGCGGCACAGACGCCGCGTTCCGCGAGCTTCAGCGCGCCAAGGCGGCCAAGGGCGAACCGTGTTGGCTTGATGTCTTCGACTACTTGACACCAGCTGCCAAGACCAAGACCGTGTAGCGTCAAAGGTTGAAAAATGATGTTTTTGTTCGTCCTTCGAGTGTTATCTAGTGCGCAGGCGTGTCCGGGTACACCGTTAGCAGGCCTTCCTTGCGTATGTGCACGTATTGATCTCCGTTCGAGGTCATTTTCATCCAGCGTATGGGACGTACCGGGGATCTGCTTGAGCGCCGCGGTGGCAAAGGCAATGTCCGGGTTGCTCGCCGACCTGCTATTGCTGAACTCGACAAAATGAAAGTTGTTGAAGCGCCGGCGCCGCATCGGATCGTCAAAGTCGCACATCGTACCCCACGGTCCGTCGCCAACGCCAACCATAATGATGGCTACATCGTTAGTGAGTTGTGGTGAGATGCGCATGCAAACGCTTCCGTTCGTACAGATGGGGTAGTTGGAGGCCTCAACGATGGCGCGGTCAGTCCCCTTCTCGTCCGTGACTTGTCCGTCAGCGATGATGACAAGAATGTGGTAGCGCCGCGTCATCTTGACAATGCGAATGGTCTCGTGGATCACGGCCGCAAAGTTTGTTGGCCCCGAGAGCTTGACGGTCGGGGTCACTTGGTTGTAGCGCGCGAGGACGCCGGCGAAGCCCTCGCACGGCTGCCCCTCGATGCCGAGGTTGAAGCAAGCGTGTCCTGCGGTGTGGATGTCGCCAAAGCCCAGCGCAGGGATGAGTCCGTCATCGTCAAAGACTTCGAGCGTTCAGCCCAGCGTTTGGATGACTGTCTGGTACGGGTTCAGGGCGCCATGCTCCGCATCAATGTCGTGGAGGCATTTCCCACCAAACGAGGTTTCGCCAGTCCACTAAAACCGTAAAGTGAAGAGGGGATTTAGGTGAGCTGCTACCGTGTTGGACTTGGTGTAGTCGATGGCAACGACGACATTGGAGGACTCGAGGCCGCACATGCGTAGCCCCCGCTGCAGATCCTCTAGCGCAACATCGTTGATGGCGCCAAGTGCGATTGGTGGCGTACCGTAGGTTGCATAGCAGTCTTCGACCGCATCTTTCGGTTTTGGTACCATCGCCTTGCCAATGCTGCAGCCAAAGAGACTCTTGCGCATCGCGCAAAACGAAAAATGCACGCACCGTTGGTTGTATAGCACTACTCTCTGTTCACGTAGCCATGCGATACTGAGCAAAGACAAGCATCGTACTCTCATCCAGCTCTCTCCACCTCGCTCGCAAGTCCCTTTGACATGCCCGAATGTAGGGCTAGGGATTTGGAATGATGGTCTTTGTGACATCCGCTGCCGCTGGGTTGTTGGCTTTCTGGCTTGCTTTCTTGATTTATCAGTGACCGACAAAACTGCCGAGCGAAATCAACAAATCATGTGATTCTTCACGAGTGTTTTGGGTGGTACATAGGCGCTGTTTGGTCTACGACCGAAACCTCTGCGATCGAATCGATGACGCACTAATATACACTTTCTACAAGCATAATTGTCTACTGTCTGACGTCAAAGAGGGTTTATAGGGTTTATTTGCGACTAACGACGCGGTTTGCTCGTTTCTTATGATTCGACGCATCCTTAGTGTTCTGGAAGAAGACCGAGCTGGCGAATGGTCTTGTATTGCGCTGCATCGTAGCATGAGACGCAGCATTTCGATTTGCAAGCGTAGTACCTGGGATACCTGCGAGCGCGGCAGCGGCAAAGCCAACTTGTGGGTTGGCCACATTAAACTCGAGCACTTTGTTGTATTCGACAAATTGAAAGTTCTCGAACCGGCGCCGCGTGAGCTTGTCGGAATATTTGTTCATCATATCCTACAATTAGCCTTTGTGCACAAAAACATCAAAGAGAGCGAGTTACCCACGGACCGTCACCGACGCCGACCATGATGATGGCTGCATCGCAAGCGTCAATGAACCCGAACAATACACGGGAACGTACACAAGGCAGAGTTGGAGGCAGCGACGATCGAATCGGCGGTCTCTGTCTCGCACGTCACTTGGCCGTCGGCGATGATGACGAGGATGTGATACTGCTGCGTTGCTTTGACGAGGCGCACCGCCTCTTCGATGATTGGCGTAAAGCTTGTGGGTCCCGCGAGTGCCACCGTTGGCGTTACAACCTTGTAGCGCTCGAGCGCGTCGGTGAACCCTCGGCACGGCGCGTCGTCGAGCTTGAAGCACGACACATCGCGCGTGGTGGCGTCGCCAAAGCCGTACAGTCGAATGAGCTGGTCCTTATCAAAGGCTTCCAGCGTCTTCCCCAAGGCGCGAATCACCGCCTACGCGCGACAGATGTGAGCCACAAGCCTCTGGCAGACGAGGCACCTGGTACGGGTTGGCGTCGACATCGCTTGGGTCAATGTAGTGCAGCGACTTGCCAAAGGACCACTTGCCATTCCACTAGCAAGGATACGACTGATGATCGATTGAGAACGGCCATTGAAGCGTACGTCGTTGGAACGCGTGTAGTCGATAGCAATGAGAAGGTGCGACGTCTCGAGGCCGGCTTCCTGCAGCGACGTCTGAAGTTCCTCTACTTGCCAGCGTAAGCTGCAGGTAGCGTAGCGAAGAAGGGTACCGTAGCTTTCATATTTCGTCGCCGTCGACTTGCAACGGCGCGTGGACGAGTGCAGGTTGTGGTCCTCGTCGACGCCGCAGCACGCCGAGATCAGTTGCCCCATCGTCGTTCGAAGTGCAAACTGAGTGCTGATTGGCGCATCATAAACGAGGTACATACGTTAAATAGGTTAAACCCATCACAACAAGCAGAAAAGTAGATGCGACGTCATCACCAACTCGCCACGACGACGCCTCAACTTCTTATCGCCTCGATGAAAACTCACGTTGACAGAAGTGAGAAAGATGTACATGACATTATACTAGACCTTACTTAGTGCTGGGTCCACAGTGGCCTGATTGTACGGTAGTCGGTCGGCCAAGACGCGATCACAGGAGCCCGAGACGCCGAATGGCCTTGTATTGCTCTACATCGCGCATAGCTATATAGACGTATCACATAGCCAAAAACGCTACCTGGGATCTCCATGAGAGCAGCCGTGGCAAAACCAACGTCCGGGTTTCGGGCGTTGAGTTTGAGAACGCTTGCAAAATCGACAAATTGAAAGTTGTCAAAGCGACGACGCGGAAGCTGGTCGTCGTACTCGTGCATCATATCCTAGGAGCCACTTCGTTTGCAACGAGCCTACATAAGGTTATATCGGACAAACCCAAGGACCATCCCCGACGCCGACGACCACGATGGCTATAAAAACGCAACCACTATGAGTGCCAAGGACACGGCTTCCTCCTTCTGTGGCGTACAGATCGGGTAGTTGGACGCTTCGACGATCGCGTCGGTGGTTTCTTTTTCGCTCGTGACTTGGCCGTCGGCGACGATGATGAGAATGTGGTACGCCTGCGTCTCGCGCGTGATGCGGATGGCTTCGTGGATCACGGGGGCGAAGTTTGTCGGCCCGGAGAGCTTGACGCTTGGCGTCACTTGGTTGTAGCGCGCGAGTACTTCGACAAAGCCTTCAATCGGTGCCAGCGAGAGCGGGAAGCACTTGCTGCCCTGCGTCGTGATATCGCCAAAGCCGTACGCTGGGATCAACCGGTCGTCATCAAACACTTCCAGCGTGCGGCCCAAGATTTGGATCACAGCCTAGCAGCATCAAAGTCACGAATGCGCTAGTCTTATTACCTGGTACGGGTTCAACTCCCGTGGATCGAGGGCGTGGAGACTCTTGCCGTGAAAGGTGCGCTCGCCGCTCCACTAGACGAATGGCGACGATGATATTGCGAGCTAACGTACGAACTCAATGCACCTCGTTCGACTTGGTGTAGTCGATGGCGACGATCAAGTTGGACGACTCGAGGCCTGCGCGTCGAAGGGCAGCTTGAAGCTCGCCTACTCAAGTCAAAATGGCAACCAGCCACGGCAAGCGGCGGTCGCACCGTAGGTTTCGTAGTGGTCTGGGATCGAGCGAAAGGGATGCAGCGCGCCAGGTGGCGTCCCATCGTCGCTCGTGCCGCACGTCGAGAACAAGAGACCCATGGCCCAGACGAGAAATGTGGAAATGCCACGCACATGTACGTCAAATGCTAAAGACGTTAAACGGTTTTAACGTCGAGCGGGCAACGGGAATGATGGTGGGGATGGTGCAAGCCAAGCGAAGGGTGACCATTGCCAGCTGACAGAGCCCAACGTTGCAAGACGACAGAGCTTCTCGCGAACTACATGTATGTCGAGAGGCAAAGAAATATTCACTTCATCACTGGCCTGTTGAGACTGCGTGAACGGCGGCGAAGGCTTTTACGCTCTTCAACTCCACCATAGTGTTTGCTCGTGTCTTTGCGAACGAAGCACAATCAGCAGCACAGATCTTGAACGTTGTTACCAGGCAGGCCAGACAAGGCGCTACCGGTAGCTACATATTTGACCCGTAGCCACAAGGCATAGCTCTCTCGAGGCAGCATTTGACAGTGTTTTATTGTCTTTTCGTTGCCTTTCGGAAACGAAAACAAACATGTTCTGCCCTGTCCCCGACAGTCAGGGACCTGGGCCCGACTACAACCCGGACAGACGCGCTTCAAGAATCCTAGGGATGTGTCGCTTCGAGTTCTTAGCGAGCTATTCATCGTCTCTTTATCTCGTTCGCGGAGCGCTGCAACACGTCGCTGCTCCAAAGTCCATTGTGTTTCCTCGCCTCAACATTGCGGCATTCGCTGCCATTAGAGCTTCTCCACCGGTCCGCGCTATCCTACACTGGCTCTGTAAAATTTCCAAATTTGTAAAAAAATTACCGGGGAAATGCCCCACCGGTCCCTGTAAATCGCCCTGTATCTGTATAATTTTTACCGGGTGGAGCAAAAATTGGCCGAGCGCCCTGTATCCTGGCGCCCGATACAGGGCGCCCGGGCACCCTGGCTTTTTACCCGGTAAAATCGCGAATGACTCATGTTTTGTATACTAGTAAAAAAAATACAAAATCGAATTTTAAGACGAAGTTCGAAGTTATCGACGCCATACAAATCGCGACTCCCGGCATCTTTTTACAGGGCGACCGCTGGGGCGTTTGTTTTATCTTGCTCTGTGTCGCATATACAGGGCGAAATCGCGCAAACCCAGAGCCAGTGTGGGATACAGGGAACCGGTGGAGATGCTCTTACTCAATAAACGCATTTAACACACACCATCGGGTAAACCTAGGTATTCCGAGTGCTGGTCCTCGAATTTTTTAAAACGTCATTGATTTGCATTCAGCAAGGCCGTCTGGTGCCATTTTTATTTGCTTGTCGCAGTCACTCGCGCAATGGGCTCGGACAACAGCAAGCCAAAGCCGCAGACCCGCGCGCCCGCACCGCGTTCGCCGGCCTTCCAGCGCATTCCGGACCAGTACGAGACCTACGGTACGCCCTTCGCACTGAGCGCAGAGACCTAATCTCGGCGCAGAGCAACTCCAGCATGCGCTGCGGGCGTCTGGCCTCGAATCCTCCAACTTGATTCTCGCCATCGACTACACCAAGTCCAACACGGTACTCGCGACATGCTCATGGCGGTGCATGCTCATAAGCGCCTTAGTGGACGGGCCAGCAGTCGTTCCAGGGCAAGTGCTTGCACGACATTGACCAAACCGGCCAGACGTGGAACCCGTACCAGGTCTACTCCAATCAATGCCGGCAGCCGACGAATGAACCGCCTTGCTCTAGTCGGTGATCCACATCATGGGCAAGACGCTCGAAGCGTTCGACGACGACAAGCTCATTCCGGCCTTTGGCTTTGGCGACGCCACGACGGGCAGCCGTGCTTGCTTTCCGTTTGTCCCAAACGGCGAAGTGCTCACGGGGTTTGCCCAAGTGCTCGAGCGCTACAACCAGATCACGCCGGCGATGGCGCTCTCGGGCCCAACCAACTTTGCGCCCGTCATCAACGAAGCCATTCGTATCGTACAGGCGCATCGGTCGTACCACATCCTCGTGATCATTGCTGGTTCTTCACTTCGCTTTGATTCCTGGACACTCATTTCGCGTAGACGGCCAAGTCACCAACGAGAAGGAAACCATCGACGCAATTGTTGCCGCCTCCAACTTTCCGCTGTGTACGTTGATGATGCTAAAAGGACGACGACTCATGGATGACGCAGCGATCGTCATGGTCGGTGTCGGCGATGGCCCGTGGGAGATGATGCAGCGCTTCGACGACCAGATTCCGACGCGCAAGTTTGACAACTTTCAATTTGTCGAGTACAACAAAACGCTGCGGCACAACCCGCGCAACCCGGAAGTGGGCTTTGCCACGTCGGCCCTCATGGAAATCCCAGGTACGTTCTCGCTCGTCCGAGCTGACTTGACCCGTTGCGTAGATCAGTACAAGACCTTGCGTCGCCTCGGCATGCTCTAAGCCCAGATAGGAGCCATCAGGCTTGTCGCTGACGTATACCAACGAATTTGCTCGTTTCATGCACTCGACGCCTTGTCTTGCAGCGGGGACGAGGTGCGGAGCTGTGCGATGTACCGTTGTTGGACTGGGAACCTGCCACGCTTCCGCGACGGGATTGGCTAGAAAGGTGACTTTTGGACCAATCCACGCGCGCAGACGTTGGAAAAGCTACTGCAGACCTGTGCTATTGTATTTCCTGGATTCTCATACATTTTCCAAGAGAAAATAAAATCAGTGGATTCTATTTTCGAAGCGCAGAACCCATCACTCTGCAATCTCAACCATGGGCGCCGAGAACAGTCGCGCAGCGCCACGCCCGAGCAGCACCTTCCGCGCAATCCCGGACCAGTACGAGACCTATGGTACGTCGTCACTCGTGTGGCCTCGCCACTTAGCGTGGCCTAGAGCAGCTGCAGGCGGCGCTGCGGGGCGCCGGCCTCGAGTCGTCCAACCTCATCGTCGCCATTGACTACACCAAGTCCAACACGGTATGCCATGGCATGCTCGAGGCTCGTTCTCACGCATGCATGCTGCAGTGGACAGGCCAACATTCGTTCCAGGGCAAGTGCCTGCACGACATTGACCCCACAGGCCAGACGTGGAACCCGTACCAGGTACAACACTGCAAGCCCGACACAGCGCCGACGCGAGCAATGTGCGTTGGCTAGTCGGTGATCCACATCATGGGCAAGACGCTCGAGACATTCGACGATGACAAGCTCATTCCAGCCTTTGGCTTTGGCGACGCCACGACGGGCGGCCGCGCGTGCTTTCCATTCCTGCCCAACGGCGAGCTCTGCACCGGGTTTGGCCAAGTGCTCGAGCGCTACAACCAGATCACGCCCTTGATGGCGCTCTCGGGGCCAACCAACTTTGCGCCCGTCATCAACGAAGCCATTCGCATCGTGCAGGCGCAGCGGTCGTACCACATTTTGCTCATTATTGCAGGTTGACCTCGTTCGACGAACTTTGCACCTCACCGCCTCTAGATGGCCAAGTCACCAACGAGAAGGAGACCATCGACGCGATCGTCGCGGCGTCCAGCTACCCGATTTGTACGTGAACGCAAACAGCCGACTCTAACACGGCGCTGTAGCCATCATCATGGTCGGCGTCGGCGACGGTCCTTGGGAGACGATGGAGAAATTCGACGACCAGATTCCGTCCCGGCGCTTTGACAACTTTCAATTTGTCGAGTACGCCAAGATGCTGCGGCAAAACCCGCGCAACCCGGAAGTCGGCTTTGCAACCCAAGCCCTCATGGAGGTGCCAGGTAGAACGACCTTCACCCCTACTACCACTAACGCTATACGATGCCATGTAGATCAATACAAGATCATTCGCAAGCTCGGCCTGCTGTAGACAGCCGACACTCGAGGCGCCAGCGTAGTTTATATAAGCGTCAATCCCAAACCTGTTTCGTGCATGCTGCCTCGCTATAGACAGGCGGTGGTACCCTAACCACACCCGGTACGACCCCAACAACGGTTGCCTATATTTAGTCGCATGGCGTCGCCGGACCGGCCGATCGAGCTCGTCGAGGACCTCCTCGGCGCGCTCCTCCTCCTCCTCGCGGTGGCCTATGCCGTTGCGCTCGAGCTCACGCGCCGCCGCGTTCTGTCGCTGTCGCAGCTGGCGTTTGCGCTGGCGGCGACCATTGGCGTCGGCGTCGTCGGCGGCGCGCTCGAGCACCAGCTCTCGAACGAAGTGCTCGATCTCGCGCTCTTTGGCTCGTACACGCAGACGTACGTGGCGCTCAAGGTCGCACCGATCGCGTGCGCAGCAGGCATGAGCGTCGGCGTCGGGATCTACCTCTCGCTCTGCAGCTGCGCGTGCTGCTGCGACGCGCCCGAGATGGACGCTGCGAGCCACGAGAGCTGCATTCTGCGGCGACTGCGGCAGTCCACGTCCGTCTACCTCGTGTCTGCCCCGACGCTGTACCTTGTCATTGGCATGCGCCTCAATGCGCGGATTCGACTCAGCGCCATCAAGCCCGTGGGCGGCACGCTGCACTGGCAAGCCCTGCAGTGCCCGCTCGTGCTGTCAACCATCCACATGGGCAGCCTGCTCCTCATTTTGCTCAAGCGCATGCTCGACCACGCCGCGCCATCGAGCGACTTTCCTGCGATTGCTGACGCGGTCGCGTCGACACCAATCGACAAGAAGGCGACACCGCGACCATCCGTGTCGCCGCGCCACCGCGCGCTCGGCAAAGAATCTGCAAAAGAGGCCAAGTCGTCGCCCGCCAAGCCAGGCGCAGCCAGCACCAAGATGCACAACAGCGTTGTGCACGCTCTCACAGTTGCAACAGCAGCGTCGCCGGTCAAGATGCCCGAGCCCAGCAGCCGACTCAGCCCCAAGATCCGCCCCAAGCTCACGCTACCGGATGCGATGGTCGGGGTCCGGGCCAAGGCCAAGCCAGCGATCACGTCGCCGCGCAAGGACGAGAGTGAGAGTCGCCCACGCGCGCGGTCGGCGCTGCCGTCGCCAGCGACGTCGGTCGAGTCGGACGCGAGCTTCAGCAGGCCACTGGGAAAAGCCCACTCGGACCATGAGCGGCCGCGCGTGGTTGCGCGCCGGCGGAGGTCGGGTCCGCGGGACGACGGCAACATGTCGGGCCTCATTAGCAGTGAGAGCGAGACGGACGAGGACATGCTCGTGCCGTCGAGCAGCCGCCAGTTCACGTCCGAGTTTGCGATCGACCACAACCTCGCAATGCCACTGCAAGACGACGACCGCTGGGTGCTCTGCTACGACGAAGCGACGGGCGCACCGTACTACTACTGCCACGAGACGGGCGAGAGTCGCTGGGAAAAGCCCAAGTGGGAGTAGCAACAAACGAGTCGCGAGTCATGTTGAAAGAGCCATAGAACACCAACCCAGACAAGCTCACCACGTTATCTCTACAACGCTGCTGCCTTGGGCGACGACCCGTAGTGGTACAGGAACGCATCGACAAAGCCGGCAATCTAGCACACAGTACGAGTGGGTTGGAGAAGACGAGAGAACGAGCTGCGTACCGAGACCATGCCGCCGACAATGGCGCAGACACGCATGACAAAGTGCGTCAAGGGCACGCGGGCCGCGTCCATTTGCACCATAAAGGGCGAAATGTCGAAGATGAAGAAGACGCCTGTGACACAAGACGCGTCACGGGCGATCCATCATTTCCAGTCCGAGGACGTACCAGGAAGCACCGTCATTTGGCCATACGGGTTGAGGAACCGCGTCTGCTGCGTGTACGAAAACTAGATACCCGACCGATCAGATCTGATCTTGCGATTTTGATTGCAATGGCGTCGTACCTGGTTGGACTGGACACTGCCGTACCCGTCGTCGTAGATGGTCGGTACAATCTTCAAATAGTATTGGTAAACAGCACCCGCTAGAAAGTTCGGGGATTTAGTGTAAGATGACAATATTGTTCACACGAACCTTTGTCGGCAATCTTGGTCATCCCATCGAGCGGGTTCGACTGCCCTGGAAACGGCGTGCCAAAGTAGAGCCTAGGCGGAACATCAAGAAAGGGAAGGAGACATCACCGTACTTGTGCACGACGTGCGATGCGTTGTACGAGTACTGCTGGCCAGGCACAAACTGGTGCACGAGCCGGCCCTGGCGGTGAAAGGTCCGGCCGAGGGCGACGTGAAAGTTGCCCGCCACGCGGTTCACGGCCATCGTGCCATGGAGACGGCAGCCTTCGCCATCCTTGGACTCGCTCTCCTCCTTCCCGGCCTCGCGCATGCACTGCTCGGTGGCCTCGGCTTCCTCGAGCGATTTCTCGCTAAACATGAACGCCTCCTTGACTTCGTCGCACGAGTTGCAGCACAGCGCGCCCGTCGGGTGCAGCGCGTCGTAGCAGCTGCCGCAGTAGTTGGGCGGGAGCGTCGCGGGCACCTCGGCGCCATTCGGCACGTGCGAAATCGCCTTCCCGATCGGCGTCCCGTCCGGCGCCAGCCGCGTCTTGAAAACCGTGTTGTGCAGATTGACCTGGAGCTCACCCGCCACGTCCATCGAGTTCATATGGGCCTCTGCATAGCGCTATGAGTGCGAGGATAGAGAAAGATGCATCGTTGTACCGCGGCAGTTGAGCGCCGGGTAGCTGATGTCGAACGTGATGAGGAGCTTTTCGTTCGTCGACGTATCGACGACCATGTGCTCGTGGCGGTCCACCGTAAGGTAGTGGCTCAGCTCCGAGAGGAAGAGGATGACCATGACCACCATGGCGACGATCGACACTGCTCCATCATGCCATCATGAGGCCTCGCTCCTGCATGGCGTCGTACCTGTGGCGCCGGTCTCGGTCTGCACCTTGAACTCGCGGTGGAGCTTCGGGTAGACGTCGACCTTCTTGAGCATGCGACTCGTGCTGAAGCCATGCTCCGCGTCCTCGTCCTTGGCCACGTTGCGCTGGCGCAGCATCGTCCTTCGTACACGTGGAGTTGGAATCTGCGCACCGGATAACGACCGGATACGCAACACCCCAGATGATGGCGCTTTCAACTCTTTTTATTTAATATCCATCAATTTGTATGCAATACAATACAACGTTGGCGGCGACGTTGGGTCAGTTGTGTGCTGGGTTGGCCTAATTTGGATAAACCCACGCAACTTAATCAGACAATCGCACGCAAGTCGAAGTTGTCTCGCGCGCTTGTCTGTGGGCTTGCGCCGACACGGAGCAGCGGATGCTGTTGATTGAACAAGAGTGGCTTGAGACATGGACACGACGGAGTCGCGGGACAAGAGAATACGCCTGGGAAATGCCATGGATTACCAAGCACAACAGACCCAGTCCCGAAAGGGCAGCGCAACATCATGTGATGACACAGCAGCTTGAGCTTGAGGGATCCATGTTGACCCACGGGTACATATACATGTGTCGACGCCGACCCCCATTCGTCGAGGGAATGAATTGACAGCGTTCCCAACGTGTGTGTCACTAGGGCGGGTAGTGGAGGTTGCGTGGGAATAGACAATCGAACGTCCATTTCTAAATTTTTGTATTTTTGTCAAAAGTTTTGGGACCCGACATCGCGACCAACATTCCGCCGACTAGCGCAAATCTTTCGAAGCCATTTCCGCTCTTGCCAACCCAACGAAGCATGGGCAGCCTCTTCTCGTCGATCGCCGAAGTCGTCGTGAGTGCACCCACAGCGAGCTTTGAGGCTATCGCCGACAAGTACGAGACCTTTGGTACGAGCAGCGTCCGTGCAAGCAGCTAGCTCATGCCATCAATCTAGAGGAGCTCCAGCTGGCGCTGCGCCAGTCGGGCCTCGAGTCGTCGAACCTTGTCCTTGCCATTGATTACACCAAGTCCAACGAGGTACATCCGCTTCTCTATATTACATGCGCATGAGATATGGCGCGTAGTGGAGCGGCCAGCGCTCGTTCCAAGGCCGCTGCCTCCACGACATTGACCCCAAGGGCTTTGAGTGCAACCCATACCAGGTACGACGCTGCATCATACAGGCAGCATCTCATGGCTGCGATAGTCTGTGATTCAGATTGTGGGTCGGACGCTCGAGCCATTCGACGACGACAAGCTCATCCCGGCGTTTGGGTTTGGCGACGCCAAGACAGGCGGTCACTCGTGCTTCAACATGGGCCTCGGTGGCAAGCCGTGCGAAGGCTTTGCCGAGGTTCTTACGCGCTACAACCAACTCACGCCGACGTTGCAGCTTTCGGGGCCGACCAACTTTGCGCCCGTGATCCACGAGACCATTCGCATCGTGCGCGAGACGCGGCAGTACCACATCCTCGTCATCGTCGCGGACGGGCAGGTGAGCAACGTCAAGGAGACGTCCGACGCGATCGTCGCAGCGTCCAACTTTGCCATTTGTATGGTCTTCCCATGTTGATTTCAATCGCTTATCGCATTGCGTAGCCATCATCATGGTCGGCGTCGGCGACGGTCCGTGGGACATGATGAACGAGTTTGACGACAACCTTCCGTCCCGGCGCTTTGACAACTTTCAGTTTGTCGAGTACGCCAAAGTGCTCCAGTTCAACAAGCGCAACCCGGAAGTGGGCTTTGCGACCGCCGCCATGATGGAGATCCCTGGTACGCTCTTGGTACCTGATCGTATGCTCAGATTACTATTTAGAGCAATACAAGGCGATCCGCAAGCTCCATCTGCTTTAACAACGCTGCTCAACTAAGCTTAACTCTTAACTACACCTATTTCCATCTTTTCCAGATCTGGACATGGCAGCGACTAGAAATCCAAAACATACCAGATTCATATTCTGACGCACATGCTTGTCATCAACTCTGAAAGAAGGCGGTGGCCGCCTGGTTGGTGCCCAGGAGACTGTGGTTGGTGCCGCCAATGGGCGCGTTGCACTCGGGGCAGGTGGCCACTTGCATGGCGCCACCACACTCGGTGATCACGTACGGGTGGCCGTTCGGGCAGCTGTACCTACAACGACACAACCTTCAGTCGGTAGGAGGGCCAAACGCTGTTTGTACCAGTGGCCGCCAAAGCCCGAATTGTAGCCATTCGGATCACGTGCAAACACCTGAAAGATCTCCTTCTTCTCGGCTTGCGTCAGCGCGCCCATGCCCGAGGCGCGCGTGTACCACTGCTCTGCTTCAGCCTTTTGCGCCGACGTCGCCATCGCCGAGGCCGCAACCTCATCGACGCTGACGCGCATCTCGCGCAGGAGCGACTTGCGGTCCTTGGTCGCATACGGCTCGAGACCGCTCTGGATCGCGACCAAGCGCAGCTTGAGTCCGAGGAGGCTGCAGTCGACAAGCGACCGGTGCGACTCGACCGAGGCGCAGAGGGCCTTGGCCTTGGCTTCGAGCTTGAGCGTCGTGTTGACGAGATGCTTCATCTTTTTGGCCTTGTCTTTCGCCTTGCCCTCGGCGTTGGGGAGGCCGTGGAGCACGACCAGCGCCACGTGGAGCGCCTCGAGCTGCAAAAGGGTCAGCGCCTTCGACTGCATCGTGTTGCGGTAGCGGTGCATGTTGAGGTCCGGCGTGTCGCGGCGCTGGAGAAAGTGCAGCTCCTTGATCGCCATCTTGTGGCTTGGCGCGAGGACTGCGCAGCGCGCCACGAGCGTTTGGAACCAGCCCTAGCATGATGCGCATGACATTGCATCCCACATGGGGTTGCTTACCATGGCCGCCGTGACATCCAACAGCGTCTGCGACACTGCACGCTTGGCCCCCGACGCCGACACGTGCGCGATCGCTTCGTTGAGGTACTTGAGCTCGGCTTCGTACAAACTCTGAAAGTTGAGCACGCGAGCGTAGCGGTGCACGCCTCGGAGTGGCTGCCGACAGAGCGGACACGACTTGCGCTGGGACGTCATGGCTTGCAGCGTCAGCGGTTTGATGGTCGTGTACTTGCCAGACGCAGCGTCGAGCGCAAAGACGCTGCTCAGATCCAAGTATCCGTCCATGCTCTCGGTCGTAAAGCTATGGCCGCACGGCCACGTCACGAGCGGCGACTCGTCCGGGTCGTGCTCCTCGAGGGTCGTCTGCATGATCAAGTCGACAATTTCGAGGCGGTTGTTGGGCGACGCGCAGTGGCGACAGCTTTTGGGCGTCGGGCAGGCTTCGCCGCAGAGGCCCGGGCACTGGTGGCCGCAGCTCAGAGCCTTGGTGCAGCGCTCGTCGCACGGAAGACGGAGACACGGACTTCCGCACGGCAGCGGACAAGATGTTTGAGTGTGCGGACAAAACCACGTGCACGGCTCCGAGCACGACGTACACGGCGCTTTGCACGGCAACGGACACTTGGAGTGCTCGCACACGGCCGTGCACGGCAGCTCGCACGGCGGACACGCGTCGGCTGCGTGACAGAACGCCTTGCAGGCATGGCCACAGACAAGCCCGCGGTCGCACGGGTACTCGCAGCTTCCTGCGTGCATCGGTTTCTACAGCAATCGGATCTGAGTTGCCGAATCGCATCGTTTCAAAGAGGCACCTCAACAACGATGCATGTGGCGCAGCGCTGCGTGCACGCGTGGTCGCAGTCCCGCATGCCCCCGCACGGCGCCGAGCACCCATTTGCAATCTTGGCAAGGGCTCTCGCGTCCTGGTCGCGCGTCGCTTTGGCCAGCGCCTCGGCGATCGCGCACGAGACGACCACTTCGTGCTTGCAACCGGGCATTGTGACGCGCACCTAGACAAGAGAGCGTCATCATGTCATGTTTTGCTTGTCGTCGGACCTGCATCGGGCATTTGATCGTGCGCAGCGGATCGTGGACGCGTGCGCAGGCCACGTTGAACACCTCGTGGCCGCAGTCGAGACGGTATCGCGGAATCGTCTCACTGCACCGGCACGTCTCGTGGCAGCGTTGCTTGCAGAGATGCCCACAGGCAGCGACCGCGCGCGTGCACGCTTCCAAGCAGACGCTGGTCACGTGCGCCGGGTCATCGGGGTGGCAGAGCTTGGCGCAGGCGTGGCCACACGGCAGGCGCGCGTCGCAGCGGATCGTGCAGCCTCCATCCGGCGCGAGGCGCTGCATGTCCTGGACGCTTGTGATGCGGTTGACGGTGCCATGCGTCTCGCAGCGCAATTCGACGAAATTGTCCAACCTACAGCACAAGACAATCAGACAGTATACGCCGAGTACGATGACGCACATGTGTTTGTGCTCGAGGAGGTCGAGGACAATGTGGAACATGCTTGCGTGACGGCACTTTTGCAGCGTCGACGCCGACCCGAGGAGCAGCATCCCGTGCTTGGCACGCGAGAGCATTACGTTGACGCGGTTCGAGACCTTGAGAAAGCCGGTCGAGCCCGCTTCGTTGTTGCGGACGGTCGAGATCAGCACAAAATCGGCTTCGTTGCCTTGAAAGTTGTCGACCGTCGAAAGCCGCACGCACTGCTTGAGGCTCTTGACGACGACCGAGGCGGGCTCGAGAGGAGGATTGTTGGCGGCCGCATCGTCTTCGTTGGCGAGCTCAAGCTCCCGCAGCGCCTCTTCGTCCTTCTCTTCCAGTGCGAGGCGCAGGTGCTTGGCCTCGAGGCGGCGCCGCAGCAGTTGAAGCTGCCCCAGGTACGGTGTGAGGATCACAACGTCGTTGGCACCGTTGATGAGCGCATGCAGCGCCAGCTCGACCACAAGATCCGCTTCTCCAGGGTTCTGGTGCGAGAGCTCGTTGCCGGCTTCGAGGTACGAATGGTCGAAGAACCACAGCGGGTGGTTGAACCCCAGCACACGAGGGTACGTCGAGACGTTGGGACCGTCTACGAGTTGCGGGTACAGCGGGAAGCGAATAAGGTCGCAAATGTCTGGCGCCATGCGGCGTTGCGTGTGGAGCGTGACCATGCCGCCTAGACTTGGCGTCAGTAAGCTCAAAATGAAAATGTGCGTACCGTGCGCCGTCTCGACGAGTCGTTCAAACATCGAAATGTCGAGGTCGTAGCCGCGCTTGGACTGGTAGCTGAGCGGATATTCGTTCACGAGCGGGCGCAGTTGCTGGTGGTCGCCAATCTGGATAAGGTGCTCGGTCGCCGACGACAAGCAGCTGAGAAGATGCGCTTCGAGGACCTCGCCCGCCTCTTCGATGAGCACCACCTTGGGCGCGAGGCTGCGCACGAGCTCTTGGTTCATCGCGCAGCCCGTCGTTGTCATCCCGACAATCTTGGCCTTGAGCAGCAACCGCTTGTCGCTGCTCGTCTGGAGCTCCTTGAGCTTGGCGACGCAGTCTTCGTACTGGATAAAGACGCTGTTGTTACGCGTGCTGAGCTCCGTCGCATATTCGTCCTTCCACGTCTCGAGCATCAAGCGGCGATGCGCAACCGGCCAGTGCCACAGCGACGCACGGTGCAGCCCGTCGGGGCTTGGCGCACCGCGTTCCCAGTCCTTGAACCGCTTGTTTTGCTTCTTCTTGCCCTTCTGCTCATCAAAGCCGTCGTCATCCTTCTTCTTCAGCTTCGTCTCGGCGTAGCCGGCTTCATGGTCATCGTCGTCGTCCGACCACGGACGCTTGGCCAGCTTGCAAATGTCCTCGTACGCGTCCTCGTGCTCGTACTTCCACCACTTGAAGAAGGTTTCTTCCGATGCGTCCACCAGCACGTCGTCGAGCAAGACTTCCAGTCTCTTGCACTCGTCCTTGACCTCAAACCGGCGATGCGCTTCGTTGCGCGAGAGCGGCATGCCTTGGCGCATCGCGTACAAGCTCGCCGGCGTGAGCACCTCCGACTTGCTTCGGCCGCCGACGCGCACCATGTCCTTGCTGTCGACAATCTTCTTGGTCACGAGCTCTTCGAGAAACTGGTCGAGCGCGTGGTTGGTGTAGCACACGCACAGAATTGGACCCATGTTCAGATGTGGCTGGCGCACGAGCGCCTCGACAATGTGGACGCCAACGTAGCTCTTGCCCGTCCCCGGCGGCCCTTGAATGAGGCATACTTGCTGCGTCATGGCCGCGCTAAACGCCAAAATCTGCGACGCGTCCAGAATCAGCGCGTGCGCATGGTCCTCGAGGAGCTCGACGAGCTGCGACCGGCTCGCGATGCGAATGCTGCGCAAGTCAATGCTCGACCGGTACCGTTGCGATAGCAGAAATGACAAGTCAAACGTCCGCGCCTCGCGAAGATACGCCGGCATCGTCGACCACATGCGCTGGCCGGCGGCGCCGCCATAGAGGCACGCTTGGAGCTCGGCCGGCAGCGAGAGCATCTCGGACGACTGCAGTGACTGCAGCACGGGCGCGTACGACGTGAAAAAAAGGCCGCGCACTTCCAACAGCACGTGGTTGCCGCCGCGTGCGAGCGCGTGCACGAGCAGCCGGATCTCGCGCGGGTCCAAGAGCTTGATGCCAATGTGGAACGTCTCTTGGGACGACACGAGGGCGACTTCGTCACGGTCGGCGACCGTGCCAAAGATTAGCGTGTCGCAGGCCATGTCGGCGACCGTATCCAACTCGGTGCGCGGGCGCGGCGGGCGAGTGTAGTCGACGGCAACCGCAATGCACACGAGGGACCCGACCGTGTAGCGCGAGTCGGCCGCCCAAAAGGCCTTGAGCGCCGCCTTGGACGCGTTCGCCACGGGCTGCGGCGCGCGGATCTCAAAGACGATGCCGTGGCGCTGCGAGCCGCGCACCTTGTCCATCGTGACGCCCTCGGCGACGTTGAGACGCGGGAGGTTGAGGTGGCGCGGCGGCTTCTTTCGTTCGCGCGCCGGTGTCGCGGGGTTGAGGTACCACTGCAACCCGACCTTCATTTGGGCGAGCGCGTCTTCGCGCAAAAGGCGAAAGTGAAAGTCCACATGGTCGGCCATCGTGCTCTGCGCGTTGGCCTTGGGGTGCCGCGGCAGCGCGGGCGGCTCGAGGCTGCGCATCTCGCCGTTCGTCGGCAAGATGCGAATGTCGTGAAAATCGACGTGGGCGTTGTCGTGCGTGGGCTGCGCCTCGACGACTACGGGGACTTGGGTCGGTCGACGCGCCGCTGGCATCATCGCAAAGCGCGCCCCTACCATGTACCAGAGATGCATGAGTGGAAGCAGTAGGGTGAAGAGGCTCGTACGCTCAGGCACGACAGGGGCAACGCGGGACGGGACCATTTCCCGGCAAATCGAGATGGCTTCGTCGAGGTGGCGCAGCGCCTGCAACCCGCGCTCGTCCAAGGTGCCACACCATGCCATGAGCTCGACCAGAAAGTCGTAGTAGTCTTCGTCTTGGGGTGCTTTCGGCACCTTCTTGACGATCGTCAGGAGGAGCGATGCAAAGGCGGTGAGCGTCTCGTAGTAGAACGTCAAGTGACTAAAGAGCGCTTCGCCTTGCACCAAGCACTGGTGCACGCGCGAGAGGAAGAGCGGCGTGTTCAGGAGTAGGCGGTACAAGCGCTTCGTGTCGGTCGTGTGGGGCGAGTGCACAAAGCCGCGCGACGTGAAAAAGTGCAAGAGCGGGACCGCGAGCGACTCGAACGACCCGTCGTGCACCGAGTACGGGTGGTTCATGATGGCCTCGAGCTTCTCGATCACGTGGTCTTCCTTGTCCGTGAGGAGGATGAACTCGTCGACGATGCCAGCGTCTGCCAAGCCATCGATAAAGGCCTGCATGTTCTCGCGACGGTACCGCCCGGGATGGAAGGGCTCCTTACGCCGGAGCGCGAAGGGTAGGTCGATGGACGTGTCCCGCGCAGGTCGCGCGGTCGCCGGCCCTTGCCCGCGCGTCTTCGGGGGCCCTTTCGGATCTCCCTTGGGGGGTGCCTTCGGGCCGCCCTTCTTGCTTCCTCCGCCCATGACTGCAACTTGAAAATGAGCTGAAATGGGACCAGGCGTTGGACGTTGCTTGACCAGAAAATGGCGGCTGCGAGCACCAGACCAAGTCTGGTCTGCAATTTGTATCAAGCGCCGAGATTCCTGGCGTGGATCCGCAGTTTGGATTGTCAACGGCGTTTTGATTCGTCCATTTT